AACAAATGTCAGGGAGCTCTGGACAGGCTGGCCACCCCATCTATGTGAGCTCAGGACAGTGGGATGGAGTTTGGGGTTGCACGAAGTCACTGGGGACCAAGACTCATCAGATAAATGCCTGCCTGGCTGGACTTGAGAGGATGGAGTCATATGGGTAACTTGAGGGGGGCTCTGGGGGCCCAGGACACTACTAGTCTCATGCAAATTTAGGTGGGAGTCCCTAAGTTGACCAGGGATAAGCTTATGGGTGACACAGAGCTCTCATGGGGACACTTCAGGAAGTCCGTATGATCAGTGGCATCCAGGGTCTCAGGATCCAGGAATGGGGTGGGGGCTGTGGGGGTTGGATTTGAGGGGTGTCTCAGACAGGCAGGAATGGTATCTCCAAAGGCATAAATGGAAATGAGGGTCTTAGGGTCACGGGAATAGGGGGAGGGCGTTACCGCACCGAGTACAAAGGAGACGGGGATGAGACTGGCGTACTGGTCGCAGTAAATGACGAGCTTCTCGAAGTAGCGCTTCTGCCCTTCACTCAGCACAAAGCTGGAAGATAGGGGGCGCGGGAGTCACAGTAGGGTCCCCTCCCCAGCTGCAGATCTCTCTTCCCGCGCCCGTGGGCACACCAGGGCTCCTCCCCAGCCTTCTCTCGCGGGCCACCCCCTTCCCTAGAGCGCGCGGCACCCCACCAGCCCCGGGTTCCGGCCCGCACCCTCCACTCCGGAGCCACCTCACCGGTAGGCAGCGCTCAGCGCCATGTAGAACCCGAGAAAGCAGAGGAGCTCGCGCCACAGCAATTTGTAGATGCTCCCGCGCCATAGCAACAGGAGCTGCGAGAAGCCGCCGAAGCGCGTGTTAGCCACGCGAGCTGTGTACGTGACTGTCATCGCGGCGTCGGACCGACCGGGCCAAAGGAGAAGGGTCTGGGCCGGCCTTGGGCCTGTGGGCTGAGGAACTGGCGGCTGCGGAGGTGCGAGGCCGACTGAGCGCGGCGTCCCCTCCGCCCCGTCCAGGTTCACTTTTCCTCCGAGTCTTGCTAAGCCACCCCACACCGCAGTCCCCTTCTTCCAGCCCCCTCTCGCAGGACGCCCCCTTCCCTGGACTCCTGTTCCCAGAGCCTGGCGCCTACTTCTCCCAGCCCCCCTCCCAGGACAGCCCAACCCGAGACCCGTCCCTCCCTTAGCCCCTTGAGTCCACGGGGACAGCCGCGGAGGCGCCCTCTACGCAATCCAGTGCCCCTCCCCAGGATGCCATCTACATTTTCCCCCTACTCTCTGCGCCCCCAGCTCCCTTCCCCCAGTGCCTCGGTATTTAGACTTAGGGCTCTCACCCCTTCCCTCCAATTCCCCTCCCTCAGCCCCCACCTCTGGCCCTCTGGTTGGCTCCACTCCCTCAGCTTCCAGTACTGGCCCATGCTCTACCCCTGCACTCCTTTCCGCAGTCCCGACCCTCTGTCCCCTCCGTCGGACTCCCTGCCACAGGCTGACCCCTCTCCCCTTCCTGCACTAACGGCTCTAGCCTTCTCCACTTCCCACTTAACTGCCTGACGCTGCCCTTCCCCCTTCTTCTCCCAGATCCACATAGACCCTCCCTCTTGCTCCCCTCTGACCTTCCAAGCTCTCCTCTTCCCACCCTGAGGACTCCAGATGGATTCTTGCCTGCAGGCCTGTCTGCTCCCAAGGTGCCCCTTTCCCCCCGGGCCTGGGCCCTTCTCACCTGCGTTGAGGGTGGCAAGTGCAGGAACACACCCGGACAGGGACAGGATGGGCGGGTGGCTTCAGTGCTGGGTGAGGCTGTGGCCAGACCCTGAGCTGAAGGGGGCTGGGGAGTGGGCGGAGGTGGCCCCTCCCTGACCCGCCCCTTTAGCTGTAGCCTGGAACTTTGTTTGGAGTAGCCGGTGAGTTTGTTACCTGGGGCAAGGGGAGAAGTCCGCCCTTCCCTCCACTGCCTTGCTGGTCACCCACCCTCCCATTTGCTGTTGGGGCCAGGGACCTTGGAGCTGGGGGAGGGTCAGGGACTGTCTCCTTCCCAGTCCCAGAGTCTCTCTCTGTGGGTCACTCCACAGTCACCACGCTGTCACAAAGATGCACACAGACACACACACCACAGCCCCAACCACAAATTCAGCTTCCCTCACCTCAGCCTCACACAACCACACCGACCCAGCCAAGTGGTACATACTGTCACAGACTTCCGGAGTCAGACATGACACACCCAACACAAGACTCTACCCCTCTCCCTAACATACATAGGCAGATGTATCCTAACACCTAGACTCTCAGGCACACTGACAGTCTCCAAACAGTATAGGAGAACATGGGTGGGGACAAAGGGAGGGGCCCCACATTCCCTCAGGATCACACCATGTCACAAAGACACACACAAGGTCACACAGTCAGCCAAGCACATTACACACCCAGACATCAGAACACCTCCCCTCAACACAGCCACACACCATCACACTGAGGTAACGTGCATTTCTTCTGATCTCCACAGCACAATGACACCAGATGTAGTAACACTTCCCCTCAACACAGTGGCAGACAGTCCTGAAGTCAGAGTGGGCCTAGAGGTCCCTTGGATCACACTCACAGAAGGGCAGATGGAGAAGTTTACATCCGAGCAGGGTCACGCCCATAAGCCCCTTATCATGAAACTCACCTGCATTTGCATTATCAATGCATAAGACAATCCCCTTCCCAATGTTCCCTTTCACTGTTCCGGACTGCACACACACCCATAAATACCCTTAGCTCTCATACTCTCAACATTGCCTTGAACACGCAAGCAAGCCCAAGCCGAGGGACCCAAAACCTGATCTCCACATTCTGCACAGATATGGGACACTTGTTTCTCCACACACAGACCTACAGAGGACGCACCTCCAGCCTGGCACAAACAGCATCCCCATCCCCAACCTCACCTACTCCAACGAAAAGACGGGTGTGGGGGGGCCAGGGGTTCAGGGTTCCAGCCCAAGGAGGAATGCCCTGGGATGGGTGTTCCTGTATCCCTCGCGCTTACCCCATGGCAAGTAGTACAGATGTCTCTGCACAGCCCCGCCCAGAGGCCCGGCAGGCCAGGACACTGCGTTCCTAGCCTGGCAGATGTCCAACCCCCCCCGGGATAATTAGGAACCGGCCCGGGCGGGCCACCTCGAACCCCTGCCTCCGCCGTCCAGCTGCCAGATGACCCATAAAAGGCGGCCAGCCAGCGGGTGGCACTGGGCGGGGCCACCAGCTGCCAGACCTGGGGAGAGGGCAGGCTGGGTGCTGACGGGCTCCGTTCTGACCAGCCTCCTACAAGGCGTTTTCACACTCACTGAGCTAGCCCTCGTCTCATTGTCTGCCCCCTGCCCCAATTCAAACGTGTCCCCACTGACTGCTGGACCCCCACGGGGCCAGGGGCAGGTTGCCTGGGCTAGTACACATCTTATGATAAGTGAATAATAACTTCTTGGTGGGTACACGCCTGGCGCTGTTCTAAAGGCATTACATATTCCATCTCATTGAATCCTCACAAGCAGGCTTACGAAGGTGATGCTCCAGGTAGGCAAACTGAGGCTGAGGACACACAAGGCTAGTTAGTGGCATAGCCAGGATTTGAAGTCAGGCAGTTTGGCCAGGAGTCTGGGGTCTTTGCCACCAGGCTGCACCACCGTGTTAACATGCGCCACCCCAACATGCCCATACCTGCTTGCGCACACCCAGCAGTCAAGTGGGGGGACACGTCTAGGCTCGTGGCTGAGTCCCCCTTGCACACACACCCCGGCACGCCTCAACTGACTCATGTTTGTCCTCAGACATCTACTTCCATCCTCTCATCACAACTAGCTTCAGCTTGGAACTTGCAACTGCCCAAGGTCATTCCCAGTTCTGGGTCTCCGAAGTGAGAATCATAGGTCTCCGCACGCAGTGGCATAAGGGAGGGGTAAAGGGCAGATGTCTTCCAGTGTACAGAGTCTTGGAGGACTTGTGCCATGGCTCTGTGAAGTGGCTCTTCTTAATGTCCCTATTTTAGAGATGAGGGGACCGAATCTCAGATGGTAGGAAACGTGCTGTAGCCACTCAGAAAGCTCTGGATGGAGAATGGAACTTCAGGGGCCATGGCCCGAGTCCTCTGACAACCTGCCCTCTAGTCAGTCACCTAGCTGCAGCCCTGTGTGGGAGGGGCAATGCTACCCCTTGAGGCAGAAATTGGGGCGGGGTGGAGACTCTTAATCCTGTCTGGCAGGCCTAGCCTCTGCCCAGGGCGCCCACTAATTCCCAAACCAAACAGCGGGCAGTGCTGGGCCCGATGCCGGCCTAATCCACTCTCTTCCAGCCTGGGGCCAGCTGAGGGGGCACCTGGTTCCCACACTCTGAGCTTCCATGGAACCAGGCAGATGACCCTCTCCTCTGCTTTAGGCTTCACAGTCCTGAAGGACACCCCTACATCCTGTTACCCGATACCCTCCTTCCCAAATGGCCACAACACACACTTATTAGGTCTCTGTTGTGAACCAGGGGAGCTCTGGTGGCATAGTGGTTAAGAACTATGGCTGCTAACCAAAAGGTCGGCAGTTCAAACTCACCAGCTACTCCTTGGAAACCCCATGGGGCAGTACTACTCTGTCCTATACGGTCACTATGAGTCCAACTCGATGGCAATAGGTTTGGTTTTGTGAACCTAGGGCTTTAAACCTGCTGATAACTTGCATTTCCACCCTAGACATACTGAATCAGAATCTACACTTTAAGGAGATCCCCAGGTGATTCTTAGTTTAATACATTTTGGGAACCACTGCTACTAGTGTTTCTCAGAATTGGTCCCTAACCAGCAGCATTAGCATGTCCTGGGGACTTGTTAGAAATGTACAATTCTCAGGAGGGGTTCGAACCAGAACCGGTTCAAAGCCCTGTTGTGAAGGCAGCCCTCTAGATGTAATGCCTTGGTGCAGTGCACAATTTGTGTACAACTGTATACGCAGATGCCATTCCCAGCCCCCCATGATCAACATCCACAGCAGTTAAAGATCATTTTATTGAGGGGCAAAAGGTGGGGAGAGGTGGGGGGCAGATGCAGCCCCCTAGCCCCACCAGGGGGAACAGGTCCCCTCCCCACCTCCTGCCCCTCCCCCCAGTGGCTCCCCCTGCACCATGGGGGGACTTTGTGCAAACTCTGCCCTGGGGTGGGGTTGGAGGGTGGGTGTGAAATGGCAGCGGCTGGGGCAGGCAGCGGTGCTACTGTGTGCTGGGGGGTTTGTAGGGTTCTAGGAGGAGAGCTGAGAAAGTATTGACCTTGTCTGCCCCCCGCACTTCATGGGGCAACAGCGGCAGCTTCACGATGTGGAAGTCTTCATATAGGTCTTCCATCTGTGGCCGGAGCAGAAGGTTGCAAGCAGTCAGGGGATCGGAGGGCAGGCAATGGAGTGTGGAGATGGCTGGGTGCTCCCCAGGGTGAGGGGGAGAATATGGGGCAGGGCCCACTGGGTCAGAGGCAGGGGAGCCAGCAAAGTCAGAGATCACTGGGCTGGACCTCCCACCCCGCAGGGTCAGAGGTACCCAGGCCAGGCCAGCCACAGTCCTCGAGGACCAAAATTAGAGCCAAGGGTCAAATTGGGACAAAGGACCAGAGGGTGAAACAACAGGTCAGAGACAACAGTAAAGGCTCAAAAGTGCCTCAGCTGTGTCAGGCCACACCCCTTCTTCCAGGGTCAGAGGTGTTAGGACTGAGGACAGCGCTGAGTGGGTAGACAGGTGGGTGGGTGGGCGCACCTGGTCCAGGTACTTGGCCTGGATCTTGTGGCGGGCCTCACACATCTTGCAGGGCTTCTCGGGGTCAGGAAAGACGAGCTGGTTGACAATGATGTTGTGAGTGTCAATCTTACACTTGGCCAGCTCCTGAATCAGCCGCTCTGTCTCATACAGGGACAGGAACTCGGCGATACACACACAGATAAAGGTGGTCTGCTCCTGCAGGGTGCAAGAGAGGACAATGAGGGGTGGGTTCTGCCTCTGTACCCCACCCCTCACTGTCTGCCTGGACTGCAACTTACAGGGTCCTTGAATTGCTCACTGACAGAGCGGATGACAGGCAGTGTCTCCTCCAGCTTGGAGGCCAGCTGGTCTGCGTTCATATCCCCCAGGCCTAGCATGTTGCACATCTGTGGGAAGATGCGGGAAGACTCACGGCTTACCTGGGAGCCCATTACACACCCTGGGTAGGGGGGTTGCTAAACACTTGGGGGACAACTCCTGACACCTCCCACGGGTTAAAGGTGTGGGTCCTTGAGCAGAACCCTGGGGTCAAATGCCTGCTCTGCTATTTCTGGGGGATCATGGCCAAGGGGCTTGACCTCCCAAAGCCTCTGTTTCTCTACCTGTAGACCTTATCTCCTAGAGCCGTAGTGCTAGATGAGCTGACACACGTAAGGTGCTTAGAACAATGCCTGGCACACAGTAAGTGCTCAATAAATGTTACTGCCTAAGGCACAGGTCCCTCAGGGGACCATACACCACAGGGGAGGGTTGCAGAGTGTGGGGACACTGGGGTTGCCATAATGATAATGACCATCGGGGTGCTCTCATGATCTTCATTTGAAGCCCAGAGAGGCAAAGGGATTTGCTAGGAGTCACACAGCTTCCGAGTGCAGAGGATCTGACTCCAGAATATGTGCTCTCAAGCTCTGTCTGCACCACTCAGTGGGCAGGGGCCAGTGACAGTGAGTCCTACAGGGTGGTGAAATAGTCCCCACCCGGTGAAGATCCATCCCACACACTAGGAAGTGCTGAGGGAAATGTGGGAAATGGCCTCTGTTCCTGCATATCTGGGGGCCTGGGGGCCCACTCTGCCTCAGGGGACATCTGGATGGTCCGGCCCCGCCTGCCTGTGAGATGAAGGGGCTGATCTGGTTCTTGATCTGCATGAGGCGGCCCAGGCCCCTCTCGACGATGGTAGGGAAGTTGAGCAGCCTCAGCGTGTGGCCCGTGGGTGCCGTGTCAAACACCACCACCGAGAAATTCATGCCCTTCACCAGCCTGTGGGGAAATGGGGGTCAGGGCTGCTCTGCCCCTCCTTCTGCCCCAGCCCCGGCAGTGCCCCCTACCCAGGCTGGGGCTGACCTCATGACCTCAGCGTAGCTCATGGCCTCGTCGATGCCTGGGAAGGCGCTCATGGCCTCCTGCATCATCTTCTTGCCCATGCTCAGCATGTTGTCCTCCTCAAAGAACTCATCGGGCAGCTCTGCCACACCGAGGCTGGGGTCAATCTCCTGGGGACCGAGGGGACAAGACTCAGGCTGCTGCTACCTCCCCACCAGGGCACAGGGCCAGAGGGAGCCCATGGAGGTCTCCGACCATAGGCCTTGACATGGCTCCTGCCCTCCCTTAAGGACTTACAGTCTTGTATAGGCACACAAATGGTCAAACCATTAAACAAACAGATCGAAAACTCTAAACTGTGACCAGTGCCCCAAAGGGAAGCCAAAGTCTACTGGGCGGCCTCTTCCCCAGCTGTTCCTTCACCTGGAACTGGCTCCCCCAGGTACTACTATTACTGGCTCCTTGACCTCCTCCGGATCACTAATGGGAGCCTCCTGTGACCCATATCTAATGGCAAGCCACCTAGAACCTCTTGCACCCTGCCCTGCCTTCTTTCCTCAACACTGAGTCCCTCCTCACACCTCACAGGATTTTCTTATCACGCTTATCATCTGCCTCCCCAACTTGGTCACTGCTGTGTCCCCAGTACTTAGAAGAGTGTCTGGCACATGACAGAAACTCAACATGTATGTGGAATCCACGAAGGGATGACCATCTCTGGGGTGCCTGGCCAGTCCTGGGCTCAAGGCCTCCCTCTGTCTCCGGGGTCACCTCTTCTACATGATGTCACGAGGACCATGGCAAAGCCCCCAACTCACTGGCCTCAAAGGCCACTTCCCTCCAGGGAGCTTACACCCTCATCACCCACCACAGTTAAACCCTTGACAGGTTATTCCTATCACTGGCCCATATCACTGGTTACACCCCACTCTTTGACCTCAGCCTTCTCGTCTCCTGCCTCACTTATTCTAAACCTCTCTGGGCCACCTCGTGCCCTCACTGCTGCCCAGGCTCCACAGGCTACCTTTCCCTCTGTAGTTAGCAAAATCCTCACCCTGGTTCTTCGCAGCTCTCTAGTATCGCTGCACTGTGAGCCCAAACAAACCTGATGAGTGACTTCCACCTTCCTCCCCATTCCCCATCACAAATCTCCAATATTTGCTCCATCAGCCAGACCATCTTGGGTCCCCCTTCCACCCTTGGAAGTGTTTATGTCACTTCTCCCTCCTCAAAATCTCTTTTGTCCCTTTCTCCCCTCACTCTCTGCTGAGGCCCTAACCTCATAGCTCAGTGAGAAAAAAGAAGGCATCAGCTGCCAACACACTCATCGCCGAATTCCACCCAGAAATACCCCAGTTCCCTCGCCTTCTCTCTGGGCTCCTGATCCTGGCAGAGCCCAGGTCCCAGGCCTGTGTACTGGGTGTGGCTCATGCCAGCCTGAGGGCCATCCTCTGCCAGCACCCCTGCTCCCTCCTGCAGCGTCACTGCCCTTCCCTGCCAGAGTGTCGGCATCAGCAAACCAACCTGCTCTAGCATCTCCTTTCTCACAAAGCCCTCCTTACCACATCTCCCTCCAGCTGTGGCCCCACTTCTCAACTCCTGTCATGGCAACACTTCTTAAAACAGTGGTTCAGAGCCATTGTCTCTACCTCCTCACCTCACTCACTCCAGGCAGGCTTTTCCTCCACTCCCAGGGAGGTCTCTCTAAAACTGATATGCCTGCAAGAGCAGACAACCCCTTCCTGCCAGACACTCTTTTCTTCCTGGGGCTCAGGACCCCACACTCTATGGCTTTCTTTTAAGTCAGCTCCTTCTTGGCTTCCTTCACTGGTTCCTCCTGCTACTCTGATGGACCCTAAATGCTGACGTGCCCCTAGGCTTCCTTCTGGGCCTCTGTGTTCTCTCCCACTCCCGTAACTTTAAATACCACCCTTTGGATACTTAACTAAGCTACTCTCATGATGTCTCCACTTGGATGTCCAATGGGCACCTTATATGTCCAGTGGGAACCCTGGATTCACCACTGTCAAACAGAATTGTTGATTTGTCCCTTCTAAACCTGCTCCTCTCCTAGTCTTTCTCATCCCAGCTGCTCAGGAGACAGCTAAGGGATTATGTAATTCATCTCTTTCTCTCACTTGTCACAATCAAGCAGGCTCATTGCTTCAGTTCCAAAATACACCCCAAATCTGACCACTTCTTCCCCAAAATTCTGCCCACCACCTTAGTCTGGGCTGCTGTCATCTTTTGCCTGGTTACCGTCATAGTCTTCTCACTTATCTCCCTGCTTCCACCCTAATATCCACAGGGCAGCCAGAGAGAGCCTTTCGAAGTATGAATTTGGCCTTGACACTGCACCACTTAAACGACTGACCTTACATGAAATTAGGAATCAAAGCCAAATTGCTTACCATGGCCTGCGAGGTCCTGTACTATCTGAACCTGGCTGGCCTCTCCAATCTTTTGTCTTTCCCCTTCCCTTGTTCACTAAGCTCTAGCCACTCCTGCCTCCTTTTTCCTCCGCAAATATTCCTCACTCATTCCCTGTGGGTATGTTGAGGAAGAAGTGGAATCAGGAGAGACATAGGATGTAGGACAGGCAGGATGTGGAGGCTGATGTTGGGTGTTCACAGGAAGAGCCTGGAAGGGCCTTTGCCAGAAGTGGGGAGCTGAGCCCTGCTCCACTTACCATGGCGAAGAGGTTGTCATAGCCTTTGACCTTGGTAGGCACCTTGGAGAACTTCTGGTCAAAAGCATCTGAGATGTTGTGGGCTGGGTCTGTGGAGATGATCAGAACACTCTCCCGCCCCTTGGACAGCTGGACTGCCAGGCTGCAGCTGGGCAAGGGAAAGGCCAAAAGGTGGGAAGTGAGGGGTGGCACTCCCCTGTCCCAAGTCTGCAAGGGTAGATGTGGGGCCCTAGGAGTGGGGAACTGGGGGCGGCAGGGCCCTTGAGAAGACAGTATGGGTAACTGTGGGATTAAACCTCAATCCCTGCAGGGCGACCCACTCACACCTCACCTATTGACCCCTCTAGCTGGGTACAGTGGTAAGGTTCAGTCAACTAAGTTGGTTTGGTCTGGTGCCTACTATCCAGTCAGAATAGCTTGATCCTCCCTCAACTCTAAGCTAAGGGGTTCCTTGCACACCTTACCAAATTCAGGATGGTTCAATCCACTTGTCTAGCATAACTTGTGTGACCTCTTCACCTCCTCTGAGTTCAGTTTGGTTTGGTCCAGCTGACTGGGACAGCCTGATCATGTGTCCCCTCCCATACTCTCCACACCGTCGATCCCCCGCGGTGGGCATAGAATGGCAAAGTTTACCTGTCTAAAATAATCTGCCCCAGTGCCCTTGCCCCTACTCTGGGCTCACTCTGGTACAATACAGCGGTTGGGACATCTAAGTGTCCTTCCCCCCGCCCGCCCCTCTTGTGCACTGAGCTCACTGTGGTTTGGGCCCTTGAGCCCCAACGCGGATGGTCCAACTCAGAGGGTGCGGGCTGCGTTCATGCGATCAAGAGGTATCTTCCATTTGCTCCAGGTAACTTCCGGAGAGTAAAACCCGGAAGACCCCAGCCAAACAGCCTCGCCTGGCTCTGGGTAGAAGAGCCTGTCTCTGATCTCCCCTCCGCCCAGTGGTACATCCCACCCGTCTTCCCGGGCCCCCCGCCACAGCCTCCTTACCTGCAGGTTGTCTTGCCCACGCCACCCTTGCCGCCGACGAAGATCCACTTAAGGCTGCGCTGCTCGATGATGTTGCTAAGCGTGGGCTCCAGTGGTTCCACATCAGGCGCATCCTCGAACTCCTCTGCCTCAACCCCCCACCCAGCCACCCCTGCCGCCATCTTGGAACCGGCTCACGTGAACAAGCGGAGCGCACCATACAAGGCACCTACGGGGGAAACTCATTATCACATCCCCATACAGACTGGACACTTGAAACAATTTTCTCGCGGCCTGCCCCTTAGGAGCTAACAGAAACTATAATGCCAGTGTCCGGTGTTTCCAGGGCTCACGTGGTCGACTGCAAGTCTATAGTTTTGTAAAGACTCCCCCTACCTAATTAACATACTGAGAAGGCCCAGTCTACTCCCCTTCTCTGATTGGAGTAGAAGCCTTGTAGCACGCCTTTCATTGGCTATATCTTTTCTTACTTTCACCAATCACTCTCATGTTCCGGTAGCGCCAACCTTTCCTTAGCAACCGGCCAAACACCTTGTCCATGCCCTCTTGTTGCAGTTAGAGCCGAGGTCCGCTCTGGCCAGACTCCATAGGCTCAGCTTCGTGTCGATCATTTCCGCACACGCCTCAGGTCCGCCCTCTGTGTTGTCCAACTGACTGTAAGCCACCTAGCTCCTGCCGCAAACTAATCATGGACTGATTAGTCAGTTGGAAACAAGTTCCCGGGCTGCGGGTGGGTTAGAAGGAGAACAACTCCAGTTGTGGGCAAGGTCCGCAGACCCTTGGCTCGTGCGCTGTGAGCGCCCATGCTGCGCAGGGCAGGGCAGGGACCACACCCGTAACTGCGCTCCTAGTTGTAGAAGGGATCTTCAAAAACCTCCTGGCACTTTGCTTTCTGTTCGAGGGGGCTATTCCAGGGAATTCCTTGTTTGAATCTTTGCCCTGGGCCGGAATACAAGCTGTGTCCCAGACCCTTGGCGGAAACTCCAGTCCAGAAACACTCTTATGTTTAGATGGGGGTCTCTAAAAAAAAAAAAAAAAAAAACAACTGTTGTCGTGGAGTCAATTCGACTCATAGCTGCCCCCTAGGGTTTCGAAAGCTGTAACCTTTACAGAACCAGACTGCCACATCTTTCTTCCCTGCAGCCGCTGGGGGGGTTCGAACTGCTGACCTTTCAGTCAGCAGCCGGAGCGCTTACCCACTGCGCCACTGGGGCTGTTATATGGACTCTAGCCTAAAAATATCCCTAGCTTTATTTGAGTACTCTAGCCCAGAAAATACCTCTAAGTCTCAGACGCGGATCCCACCTCACGGAGCCAGTTATGTCCCCATTCCCAGATGAGAGCTCGATCCCAGAGACAAGTACCTAACCGGAGATATCCCCATTTCTAGTCGGGGGGACCGGCCTAGATATACCCTCTAGACCTTGTTAGAGACCAAAGTTCCGAGGAGCCACTTGAGCGCACAGCCCCAGATGGGGTCCACTACCCTCACAGATTCTCTCTTGTGCCAGTCAAGGATTGGATTCTAGCCTCGGAAAGCTAATCGGGACTCCACTCCGGAGAGTCAGCTACAGCACCTGTATCATAGACGATGGTCCCATTTCCCCATGTAGGCGTAACGCCAGCCCTAGACTAGCTGAAGCATAAAAACCCGCGGGGCGGGGCGCCGACCCTCCGCCCCGCCCCGGTCACACTTCTCATTCGCCCCGCCCCTAAGGCTGACGCCTGAAGGCCAGACCGCTTTTCCCGACATGCATTGCCCGGGACAAGGCAAGTCCGCCAAGCGCGGGGCTGTAGTGGCCTTCCCGGAGTCCTTTGCGCGGCACCTGGCGACAAAATGGCTGCCCGAGGGAGACGGGCGGAGCCTCCGGGCCGGGAAACGCCGGGCCCCGCGGGTGGCGGCGGCGGCGGCGGAAACCGATGGGCAGAGTCCGGGCCCGGGACGTCGCCTGAGAGCGGGGACGAGGAGGTGTCGGGGGCAGGTTCGAGCCCAGTGTCGGGCGGCGTAAACTTGTTCGCCAACGACGGCAGCTTCCTGGAGCTGTTCAAGCGGAAGATGGAGGAGGAGCAGCGGCAGCGACAGGAGGAGCCGCCCCCGGGCCCGCCGCGACCCGACCAGCCGGCCGCCGCCGCGGGCCCCGGGGATCCGAAGAGGAAGGGCGGCCCCGGCCCCACGCTCAGCTTCGTAAGGAGCCGCGGGGGTGGGGGCGGGCGCCAGGGCCTGCCCTGGCAGGGAGAGTCGGAGCCCGAGAAGGGGGATCGGGATAAAGGTCTACCCCCAGCCCCAATGAGGGGCTCGGGGGCTTCCGGACCAACCTCTGAGGAAGTGGAACCTGGATTCCCGACGAGAGGGGTCTGGGGACCTCTGGAGCATGCCCGCGAAAACCGGGAGCCAGGGCATTGCATTGGAAAACAGCTCCAGGGCTAAGGAAACCAGAATACCAGGATCCCTGTTGAGTGGTACTGGGACCATCCCATAGGGAAGGGGGCAAATTCAAGTCCTGGAGTCTGAGCTGTGTGGATTAGAGAGTCAGACCGCCTGCTGTGTAACAAGGAAAATTGTTTAACTTCCCCGAGCTTCACTTATCCAGTGTCCATTTATTGAGCTCCTTACCTTGTGCTAGGCATTGTGCTAGGTGCTGGGTGTGCAAAGGTGAACATGACAGACCAGATCCCTGCTTTCCTGGAGCGTCTAGGCTATCCTAGTTTCATTATACTTATTTCCAAAAATGGAGATCACAGCATCTTCTGATATGGTGAGGATTCAGTAAGGTAATCCTGAAAAAGAGATTAACATGGGGCTTGTTTTATAACCAGAAAGAAGGGCTAAGTCAGTGATTTTCAGCCAGGGGTGATTTTGTCCCCATGCTGAGGGGACACTTGGCAAAATCTGGAGACATTTTTGGTTGTTAAGAACTGGGAGTGATGTGCTACTGGCCATTCTCACAACAAAGAATGATCCGGCCCCAAATGTTTATAGTGCCAAAATGGAAAAACCTTGTGCTAAATAAATGGAATCTACCCTGGTGGCGCAGTGGTTAAGCGTTTGGCTGCTAACCAAAAGGTCGGCAGTTCGAATCCACCAGCCGCTCGTTGGAAACCCTATGGGGCAGTTCTACTCTGTCCTAAAGGGTCACTGTGAGTCGTAATCAACTTGACGGCAATTTTTTTTTTTTTTTTGGTCGATTTTGAGCTTTGTCTCTGGTGTTAACATTAAGTCCCTGTGGTGTGGAGACAAAAGTGTTAACTTTGGAGTACCAGATTGGAGATCAGCTGTGTGATTTTGGGCAAGTGAGCTAACCTTTCTGAGCTTCATTCAGTTTCTTCATCTGTTAAAAATGGGCATGAGAATAGTCCCAGCAGTGCAGGTCACTTAATGCCTCGCTGAGGGAATGGAGTTGGACTGATGCCCGTAAAGCCTGTTGTAACCCCTGGGGCACGGGAAGTCTCGGAATGTGGGAAAAGATGGGGTACCAGGATGGAAGCCCAAAGTAAGACTTACTTGAAGAAGGGAAGTGTCAGGACCTGGATTGCTATGAGAAATGGAAGTGGAGGCTGGGTGCCCTTCCGTAAATAGGAGTAGCAGTTGTCACTGCCATTTGTTCATCGAAGGGCCATTACAGGAGCACCCCTAGGGCGCCAGGCCAAGTTAGGTGCAGGGCAGACAGTGTTGCTTGTTGGTTAAGGATGCTGCATGCTGCCCTGTGGCTTTGACCCACTTTACCTTGAATCCAGCTCCGTTGTTTGCTGTTAGCACGACCCAGGGTCTGGGCCTCTCCTCAAAGATTGCTTCATCTATAAGATGGGGACAGTTATAACCTCCATCTTAGGGTAACTGAAAGTGAAACGAGATGATGCATCCAAAGAACTTGGCACAGGGCTTGGCATACAGTAAGTGCTCAGTAAAGGCAGCTATTGCCACCTACGTGGTCCCTACAAGGGGAGGGTGAGGCTTTGACATGGAGAGTGAAGACAGCCTGTCCCCACCCTTGCTCCCTGGGAGGGCAGCCCGGGGGCCCAGGACTGCCTGGGCATCATGGGCCTAGGGAAGGTGCTAAGAGTCGCGTGTGCTCCTCTCTGATTGCTGCGCAGGTCGGCCGGCTGGCGGAGCTGGGCGCGGCGTCGGGACGGGCCGCCGGGCCGGGCTAGGAAGGTGTAGTGGGCCTCAGCGCCGCCAGGGCGGGCCCCAGCTCCTGTAACCGTTGCAGTCTTCTGTCCCTTCACCCAGGTGGGCAAGCGCAGAGGCGGGAACAAGCTAGCTCTCAAGACGGGAATAGTAGCCAAGAAGCAGAAGACGGAGGATGAGGTGAGCAGGCTGGGTGTGGGGGCTGCCCGCATTGTCTTTCCTATCTAGGCTCAACTCCTGGCTGTTGAGTCCTCTCCCTGCCTGTCTAGTGTCCTGGCCTCGGATGGATTTACTGGGTGGGGGAGGAGGACTCTAAACAAGGTCCCCAGATATCTTGACTCTGCATATTTTGACCTCAAACCAGGCTCTTCTGGGTGACACTGGGAAGCAGCTATATCAGGACAGTCCTGATTACAGTTCATGGCCTCCCTGGCATCCCATTCCCAACCCTCTTGCCCCCCCGCCTCCTGCACAGGTATTAACAAGTAAAGGTGACGCATGGGCCAAGTACATGGCAGAAGTGAAAAAGTACAAAGCCCACCAGTGTGGTGACGATGATAAAACGCGGCCCCTGGTGAAATGACCCCTCCCACACCCGCCTGCCCATGGCCTCGGACTCTGCGATGTACATAACTATTTAATGCAGTGGCAGCGGCGGCAGCCTTTTTCCCCCCCGAGGACTTATACACAGAAGGAAACCGAGATGCTTCCTGCAGCCGCGGACGATTCTCCAGGACTCTTTTTTTACCTTGAGCACTTGATAGAACAGTGGTTTACTGTCCCCTCTCTTCCCACCTCCAACCTCTCTTTGGCTTTCTCTGTCTCCCTCTTCTCCCACCCTCCCTTTCTTCCCCTTAGTCATCACTTCTGGGAAGTAAAGAACTTGATTTAGTGCTGAACTGTACAGTTGGTTTGCCTTCTTTGCTCTCTCTAACCTAAGTCCTACCCCATTGGCCACCACTGCCAAAGCCTGCATCTGGCTGTGTAAGGGAGCCGGGCCCAGGGGTGGCCTGCTCCTGTCATCCTAGCTCTCCTCAATACCCCTTTCCCCGCACCCTGACTGCTATGCTATTGGTGGTTCTTAGGTTTAATTTCTTTTCACAAGCCCATTTTGGCTGGGCCTAAAATGTTCGTTTGTTCGTTCATCAGATGTTTATTGAGTGCCTACTGTGTGCTAGGGCTGTTCTAAGCCCTGGGAACATGGCACGCACAAACAGTCAGGGGAGACCATTTTGGGTGGTGACTGCAAAGATTGGGATAGAGGCTTGAGGAGGTGGTGGTTCTATTTCAGATGACATTTGATCAGAGTCTGAGGGAGGTGAGGAGCATGCTACGCAGCTTTCTGAGGGAAGCTGTCCCAAGTAGAGGAAATAGCCAGTGTAAACAGATTGAGGTGGGAGAATGCCTGGCTCTCCCGGGGAGTTTCAAGGCAGGGTGACTGGAGCCTAGTGATTGAGGTACTGAGTGGAAGGGGAGGATGGATGGATGGCTGCATGAGAATTTGGGACTTTATTCTAGTGAGGGGAACCCTTTATAGAGGGTTTTGAGCTAAGGAGCAACATGGTATGTTTTATATTTGAACAGGATCTCTCTGGCTCTGTAGAGAATAAACTGCAAGGGGGCCAGGACAGAGCCTGGGAGACAGTGAGAAGGCTGGGGCCATCATGGGAGAAAAAGGAGTGCTGGGGCTGGGTGTTGGCAGTGGAGGAGGTGAGGAGTGCCAGACCTGGATTCTAGTGAAGCTGCCCCACCTGGAGCATGCTCGTAGCTACTTGGTACCCTTCCAGGGAGGCTGGAGGCTGCCTCACCCAGATGTATATATACTCAGAAGGAGAGCTGAGGGGCTTGTCTGTCCCACCTTGCAGAACATGACCATTGACATGTCAGGTGGTAGGGTGTCTTAAAGGAAGTTTGACTCCCCTAGAGCCCTCTGTGGCTCCTGCACCTTTGTACTCTCCTCCCAGCCCCACCGGCTCATCCTGGGTCTTAATCTCCACCAAGCCCCCAAATGTTTTTGAAGATGCCCCCACTGGGGCCCTCACCTCCCAGTCCCTTCTCAAACGTCCTAGACAGGAAACAACATCTGGGCCCCCCAGCCATGGGCCACCTCCTAGGTCTTCCTAGGCAGGGTCTCTGAGCAGCCTCTGAAATCCTGCACATCCCAGTGCCAGGCTCCCTCCCACCTTCATTTAGGGGAGGACCATGGCAGAGCTTGGGAACTGTGGGGGCAGAGGGAGGAAGGGCAGATGGCTCTGGTTCTGGGGGAGGGCTGAGGTGGAGCCCACTCTGCCAGATTCAGCCAGCCTGGGGCCTGGACCGTTCACTGATCTAATAAATGTCGAGCACCTGCCGTATTTGGAGACAGCAGTGACCTGGAGACAAAAACCCTTGTCCCCATGAAGCCAACAAGAAAACAAAATAGTACATCAGATGGTTATACATTCTAAGGAAAAAAATGAAGCATGAAAGGTGGGAAAGATGGCAATTTTAAGCAATTTGGTCAGGGATGTGAGACAGGCAATGTGTGGATGTCCCCAGAGGAGTGTTCCAGGCAGAAAGAGCGGCAGGTGCAAAGACCCCCAGCTGAAACTAGCTTGTTGAAACAGCAAGCAGGCTTTGGAACAAGATACCTGCCCTATTTCACTTCCCACTAATGCACAGTAAGACTTGTCTGGGTTATTTTCCACATCAGCTCAAAGGTTTTGGGCATGCTGAGCTGGCCCGAGTGTCACTTTGGCCTTGGGGATGAAGTGGGGGAAGGAACACACAAAGCTAAGGGAGCCATTCCTACCTCCTCCTTCCTCAAAGCCACTAGTAGCTGCTGAACCTTTAAAAAGGAACTCACAAAGTAGGTTGTTCTGCAGTCTCTGTTCTGGAGTGTCAGGAGGCAGGAGGTGACGTAGTCCCTTCCCTGTGCTTACCAGCCCTGACCTGGGAAACGTCTGAAGCGGGAGAAGAATAAAATTTAGGTTTCGGTGAATCAAACAGCCCAGGCTTCAAAGTATTCTGGTGTCTGTTAGCTGTGTGATCTTGGGTAAGTCGCTTAACCTATCTCTGTTGCAGGTTTTCTATCTGTAAAATGAGGGTAAAAATATTGACACATCTCTAAGAGTCAAGTTCTAAAGTAAAAGCAATATTCATATCATATAGTCAGCTTTAACCTTGACATTGTCTAAAACAAGTATAATTGCTTTTCCTTATGGTGAAGAAATTGGCTTGTGTTTGGGGGCTGTGCTTGAAAAATGCTGTCCTTTTAACTGCGCGGTGTGATTAGATGCTCACCACAGAGGCCTTTGTAAACTGAGAGCCCGTATGTCTCCCATCTCGGACCACAGTTGGGCATCAGCTCCCTGAGTTTATTTTTGCACTGAGCGCTTCTGATTGAAGTTTGCTGTGCACAGGGCTGATTTGAGACTTGCATGAAATGACAATTCTCAAGCAGCTGCTTAAGAAACAGAAAAAAAAAAAAAGAAACCTTGTCCCAATTCAACACCCAAATCTATCAGCTGTGAAAAGAACAAAAGAAGACTTCTGTCACCACATGAGGGCAAACAATGCGGAACAGGCAGGCAGTAGAGGGCACTTTGTACTTCCCCCTACTCCCCCTCCCGCTAAGGCTTGTGCAGAGCTGCTGGAAACAACATATAAAGGAGGGGGTGAGCATTAACAAATTTTCTGTTGCATCCCCGGCGCGTTATTCACCTGTCCCTTATCTGGGGCACCCCCTAAGCCTCACTAGAAGGCTCCTACCTTCGCCTCCCCCTCCCCCCCCCGGGACCTCCAAACCCAGTTTCAGCCCCACAATTCCACTCTTCCTTCTGCTCAACAGGCAGAGGCCAAGTCCCCAGACACCCCACCCCACGTTCTTTTCTTAGCCAGAGCCCGGAAGCGCAAGCTTGGCGCTAGTCATGACGGGATTTGTAGTTTCAGAGCACCTGGCAGGGTAGAGCGAAAGGAGGCTTTTGCGCAGGCGTAGGTGGCAGCTTTCCGCACGTGTCTCTCAAGTCCAGTTTCTGTTCAGCAAAGTCGGATGCCTTGGGGATACCCGCTGCTCTTTTAGGGAGTCTTCCCCGACTTTCTGGGAGAAGTTAGGCGCCAAGCGACTCTTCCCGAGCTTGGAAGACTCAAGTACTCGGCACAGAGATGTTTTTTGTAGCTGCTTTTAATGAATGAATGGAGCCGGGACTGACTTTGACGACGAGAAAGTGGGTTTGAAGGAACCTGTACCCCGTCTCCAGCTGGGGCAAAAATTGACTTTGCGCCTCTCCTGAGACCCCCGAAATCCCTCAGGGCAGGACAGGGTTGTCCTTTCGGTTTAGAGAACTGGTTGATTCTAGTGCATATTGGTACAGTATATAGGGAGGGGCTGAATACAAAAAGCGGGAGTGGGTGGGTGGTTAAAATACGGTTTTAGTTATTTTTTTTTTAATTGTAAAAATATAGGTAACAACATTTAAAACCACGTTTTTAAAGAACAGTTTACAGCAGTCCAGGTAATGCTAAATATGGACTATTTCTCATCAAATTTATTCTTACTTCCGTTTGACAAGTGGGGAAACTGAGGCTACGAGTGGCAGGAAGTAACCGGCAAGGCCAGGAGGGGAAATTGGGACACACCAGGGTTTCTAGTTCTTCCCTACTTTGCTCTGCTGTCAAGAGAAAAAGTGCCCTTCTCTGTTCCCACATGGCGCAGGATGATGCAGATTTCTTTCTTCAAGACCCTGCCCACCTTTGCCTCAATTTCCTGGGCTGTTCCAGGATCCACCCATCCTCGGTAGGAAAAGGAACTAGACCTTCTGCTCCAGAGTTTATTAGTTTAGTTTATTTAATTTCAGTTTTTAAAACTTTTTTTTTTCATGTTCCTGTAGAAATTGTCAAACAGTACAGGAAAATGATGCAAAGTGTCAGAGGCTTCTGTAGGAACCCATCCCGTCTCAGGAACTCCCTTTATGCGGCATTTTTTCCTTTGTCTCTAGGGTATAAAGTTAACCAGAGGCTCAGTCCCTCCCCTTTTTTTATTCGTACGTAATGTATTTCTCTGAAGTACTCCCTGGATGGGGGAGGCAGGCACAGCTCAATTCCTACAGGAGGGGGTGACAAAGGCGCAGCTGACCCAGGGCTCTGGCCTAGGGGTTTCTGGGTCCACCACACAGTGCGAGTCCCACACGCTACCAAACTCCTAACTCCAGTAAAGAGCTGTGGTCAGGCTGGCGTGGAAGAAGCTTCAGGTAACGAGGTGACAGGAGGACCCACTGGCCAGAGAGGCCAAGAGACGCAACAACTCTTCCGTCACGTGACCCAGCCTTGGTGTGGTATGGACCTTCCTCCGTAGTAGGCCACGTGCAACGAAGGCGCTTTCCGATTGGTTCTGTCGGGTCAGTTTGAACGGCTTACGGAGGCCGCGGCGGCTCACCCGTGGCCGCGTTTTTTTTTTTTTTTTTTTTTTTTTTTAAGTCCCTCTTTGGCTCCCTCCTTCCTCGTGAGTCTCAGGAGAAGCTGCAGCGCGAGGCGCTGCTGCCGCCGCCCAGGGCCCGGTAAGTGGGCTTCACTCAGAACCCGACCCACTCGGCCTGGGCCTGCGCCGACCCCCACTGGGCTCCAGGCCTGCGCTGCGTGCGGCCGGGACATCGGAGCCGCGCCCGACCGGCGAAGGCCGGGGACCCACCCGGTTGGGCCGAATCTGCGAGGCAGCGAGGACGGGCCCGGGCAGGGGAGGAGGGAAACCGGGCCGGGCTTAGGGGGTGGGGCCTCGGAACCGGGCCAGATTGGGGTGCCGCGAGAATCCGGCCAGTGGGGCGGCTGGGGTCGGGCTGGAGGGGATCTGATTGGGGGATGTCGCGAGGATCGGTGCGTGTGGAGGGCTGTTTCGGCGGGGCTTGGCCGGGTCTGATTGGGGGAGATCGCATTGAAAAGTGTGTGTGTGGGGGGGGTGCTTGTTGGGCCCTGATAGGGAGGGGCAGCAGACTTTGGCCTAGAGGGATTTGCCGGGTCTGATTGCGGGGCATCTCTGGGATCCGTTGCCGGGTAGATGCTCCAGAGGTGTTCGGCCAAGCCTTATGGGGGTTTCAGAATCGAGGTGGTGAAGGACTTCGCCGAATTTGATTGGGGAAGGCAGCGGAGATCTGTCTGTAGGAGTTACTGCTGGTCGGGGAAAGGGGAAGGAGGAGAGGCTTGGCTAGACTTGATTGGCGAAGGCGACAGGGACCTGTGGGGGGGCTTTGTCGTGGGGAGGGTGGTCTTGGCTGGGTCTCATCAGGATAGGCAACGAGGACTTTAGGGGACTGCTTTTAGGCCAATTAAGAGGGATCTCTGGATAGCGTCAGGCTAGGCCAGAAAGGGGGGTGTCTGGCATCCGGCTGAGTTTCGAGGGCTGGATTAGGGAAAGCGGCAGGGATCGGGACGATTGGAGCTCCTTCGGACGGGAGCAACTGGGGAGGCTCAAGGACCAGATCAGGGCAGGAGGCGGCAGGGATGTGGCAGAGCTTGAAATCCGGATTTCGGAAGGAGGGGAGTCTTCGGGGACCGTGTCTGCATCAAGGAGACCACGGGGGCCGGGGCGCTATCACGGTCTGGGGCAGGGGCCCTGGACTGGAGGCTGCTAGATCCTCGCCCAGCAGTTGTGAGGGAGGCAGAAACCTTGGGGCCCGCAGCCGGGGGCGGCGGCATGGGCCGCCTTGGGATAAGGGTTTCACGCTGGGCCCTATGAAGATCCGCCGGGTCCCTTCGCCGCCAGTGGTCCACTTCCACACACCCCCGCCCGGGCTCCCAAGTCCGCGACTATGCGACCTAGGATGGCGCAGCTGGTGGGGACCCCGCACTTGGGCGGGCGTGGATCAGCAGCCTCCACCTGCCGCCGCTGCCGGGCTCAGCCAGGGTCTCAGAGCAAGCCCAGGGGACCCTGCGCTGACCCTGGCCCCTACCCCTGCAGCCCGCCTTGTGCCATGGACTGGCAGCCGGACGAGCAGGGCCTGCAGCAGGTCCTGCAGCTGCTCAAAGACTCGCAGTCACCCAACACAGCCACACAGCGCATTGTCCAGGACGTATCCATCCTTCCTTCTGGGCCTGGGGAACTGGGCAGAGCCTGCAGCCCCTGAAGGCGCAAAGGGGAGGGCCTGCCTCTCTAATCCCTAGGCTGCCGTGGTGAGGAGCTGACCTGAACAGAAAATTAAAGATTAGAATTCCTGGGACCCAGTCCCAGAGCTGGAAGAATTATTATGAAAGATAATGAAAATACCTAATGTTCAGTAGCACTTACTCAGTTAACTTAAAGTAGGTACTGTTATTCTCCATATTTGACAGGAGAAGAAATTGAGGCTTAGAGAGGCAAAAGGACTTGCCCAAGGTGGCAGTGAATAATTAGTGGGGATAGGTTGGGAAGTCCAGCCCTGTCAGATGCCAGAGTCTGAGCATTTAACTGTCATTCAGAGTCAGGGGAAGTGGGGAGGGTGCCTTCAGTGGGCACTCAGGTTTTGTTTAGGCCTTATGGTTTACATTTAATTTTCAACTAGTCAGCATTTAAAATATCAGCAGGTTTCACTTGAAAATAGAGGTTCCCATGTCTTTAAAAAGCAGATGACATTGGGCAGGGAGTGAGTGGGCACTGAGTAGCAGTGGCCACCTTCAGATGGAGCAGGTTCCCCTGATCTGGTTGCATCTTCAGGAGGGAGTGGGAAGTTCAGACATCCCCTCCTTATATGAATTTGACTTGCCTGAGATGCTGTGTTGCTCTGGGTGTGGAGGTCAATGAGTGGGGTCCCAGTAATGGGCCGCTTGATTTCAGTGGTCGGGGCGCTATCAGCTGCCTCACTGCATGAGGGTGATGGTGAGGGGACCCTGCCTGGATAAGGCCTGTGTCTCCCAAGTCCCTTAACAGCTTGGCAGAAACTGAAACAACTGAACCAGTTTCCTGACTTCAATAACTACCTGATCTTCGTCCTGACCAGACTCAAGTCGGAAGGTACACCCTCTGTGCCCCTCTATGTGGCCTGGACCCTGCTTTCTTCCCTGTGGTCCCCTGAGCCCCAGCCCTTTTCCCCCAGATGAGCCGACTCGCTCTCTCAGTGGCCTCATCCTTAAGAACAATGTGAAGGCGCATTATCAGAGCTTCCCACCACCTGTGGCCGACTTCATCAAACAGGAGTGTCTCAATAACATTGGCGATGCCTCCTCGCTCATCCGAGCCACCATCGGTGAGAACAGCAGCTGGCCTGGGGTTAGTGGGGTGGAACACACTGAGCTCTCACTCCATGCCTAGAAACTTCTAAGCATGTTAATGTATTGATTCAGTGAATGCTTCCAGCCCTCGGTATAGTAGTTCTATTGCTGTTGTCGGCTAACAGACAAGGACACTGAAGTACAGTGACATTAAGGGACTTGCCTGGTAAGTGGCAGAGCTCAGAAGTGATCCAGGCGGTGTAGGTCTAGAGTCCACACTCCTCCCACTTGAAACAGCCATTCTTGCTTCTGAGAGACTCATTCAGTGTACAGCTGAGTGCTGAGGGTTTAGCACTTCAAATATGTGGGCTCCCTGCCCTCATGGAGCATGCAGTCCAGAAATAACTAGTCCTCACAAACAACTGTTTAGGTTAAAAGTGAATTAGGTTCACTTTGGAGCATATGTCTCTTAGGGAGGCTGCCTGAGGAAGATACTGAAAGGATGAAAAGAATTAGCTAAAGCAATTTTACCTGAGGAATTTCTACTACTTATAAATGCTCACACACTATCTATTACTGACAGGTGTTTTCTTGAACAATATGTCCTTTTTAAACTTCAGTCAACTTTCAAAAATTTGTTTTAATAGGAAATTGTAAATTAATTTGTAAGTAAAATAAATTAAGTATAAATTAAGTTTTTAAAATGAAAAACCAGATTTGATTGCCCTAAAGGGAAGGAAACCTAAAAACTAAATGGAATACACATAGAAAGATGGAGGCGCCCTTGTGGCACAGAAGGTTAAGGATTCACCTGCTAACTGAAAGGTCGATGGTTCGTACCTGTCCAGTGGCTCCACGGGAGAAAGACCTAGTGATCCGCTTTCATAAAGATTATAGCCAAGAAAACCCTATGGGGCAGTTCAGCTCTGCCGCACGGGATTGCTATGAGTTGAAATTGACTCAATAGCACCCAACAACAACACAAAAAGATGTTATTAAACTTGAGCTAGACATTGGGGCCTGACAAAAGTGCTGACCTTGGGGACTGCTGCCTCTGTTGAAAGTGATCTGTTACAGGCAGTGCACTCACTCTGGGTGCCATGCTTTATGCTGATGACTTGGATCAACTCGTTGAAGCCACTCACAGCCCTTGGAGGCAGGTGTTCCTTATTTGCATTGAGAGCTGAGGGCAGAGAGTTTAGGTGATATGTCCAAGGGCACACAGACAGGCTCGGGGCTGGGACTGCACCTTGGGCTGGTGTCCACGTCCTCACGGTCTACCTGCTGCATGGAGCACCTTTCTTGATATGTGAGTCAGTGTCCTCTTCAGTGTTGCTAGTGGCAGCTTCCACCCTTGGAAAACACTGCCCTCTCGTGACTTTAAATAAATATCATTTCAGCTCTGATGACACCCCTATTTAGATCCTGCCAGACTGCTCCACTGTCCTCAGGTTTCCAAATGCCTACTGCGTATCTCGATTGGATTTCTAATAAGCAGTATGAGTCTTCCCCATGGCCACAAGGCCCTGCCCAGTCTGCGCCCGCCACCTCCCTGCCCTGTCTCCTCTTACTCTCCCCCTTGCTCTCTCCACTCATCCCACTGGCCTTGCTGATCTGAGCACACAGGGCATCCTCTTGCCCCAGGGCCTTTGCATGTGCTGTTCCTTCTGCTTGGGGTGCTCTTTCCCCAGGAACCTGGATGGCTTCTCCCTCACCCCCTCTTGGTCTTTGCTCAAGTATCAAGATGTCACCTCAGTGAGGCCTGCTCTGGTCACCCAGTTTAAAGATCTTTTCTAGTCACGTTTTCTGCTTTATTTTTTCCCTTAGCCCTCATCATCTAGCCTCCTAGGTCTTTGACGTATTTATCTTTCTTCCTCATGGTCTTCCTCACTAGACAGTCAGCTCCCAAGGGTGGTGGCGGAGATTTTGTGTTTTGTTCTATGCTGTATCCCAGGCCTAGAAAGGAGCTGGCCCACAGTAAGGGTCAGAAGATGTTTGCTGAGTCAGTGGGTACTACTTGTACCCACCTCAAGAGGGGTGCACAAGGCCTACATGGGGTAGTGTACAGGGAATGTGTGTGTGTTGTAGAGAGGGGTACTGTACAGGGAAAGGGTGTGTGTTGTGGAGAGAGACGAGTGAGTGATGGGGAGGGCTGGGGGCTAGCAAGCCTGTGCCCAGCCTGAGGGAGCATCTTCTCCCGGCTGCCCCAGGCATTCTCATCACCACCATCGCTTCCAAGGGTGAGCTGCAGATGTGGCCCGAGCTGCTGCCCCAGCTGTGCAACCTGCTCAACTCAGAGGATTACAACACTTGTGAGGTAGGCGACAAACTGCAGCCTGCCCCAGCAGGTGCTGAGGCTGGGAACTGTGACCCGTGCCCGTCTCCCTTCCCCTCTCTATGCAGGGAGCCTTTGGAGCCCTGCAGAAGATCTGCGAAGACTCTTCTGAGCTTCTGGACAGCGATGCCCTCAACAGGCCCCTCAACATCATGATCCCCAAGTTCCTGCAGTTCTTCAAGCACTGCAGCCCCAAGATCCGGTGGGTGGGGCTCCCTGTGGTGTCAGGGCTTGGAGCCTGTGCATGAGTTCAGAGGTGACCATGTGCCCGCTTCTGTCAGGTCCCATGCCATTGCCTGTGTGAACCAGTTCATCATGGACCGAGCCCAAGCTCTGATGGACAACATTGACACCTTCATCGAGGTGGGCAGCTGGGCTGGGTGTGGGCAGGGCAAGAGTCACAGGCCCCATCACAACTGACCCCGCCCTTCCCCACCAGCACCTGTTTGCCCTGGCCGTGGATGACGACCCTGAGGTGCGGAAGAACGTGTGCCGCGCTCTGGTGATGCTGTTGGAAGTGCGGATCGACAGGCTTATCCCTCACATGCACAGCATTATCCAGGTGTGCATGGCCAAGGCCAGCCTGGGTGGGCAGGCGGTGGGGTCAGGGAGGCCCGCCTCCTCGCCAGGCTGGGCCTCAGCCTCTCCCCCGCCCCCCCAGTACATGCTGCAGAGGACCCAGGACCACGATGAGAACGTGGCCCTCGAGGCCTGCGAGTTCTGGCTGACGCTGGCCGAGCAGCCCATCTGCAAGGAAGTCCTGGCCTCTCATCTGGTCCAGTGAGTGCCGTTCCTGCCCTCTGTTGCTTCCATGGCCTTGTTCTCCGTTTGCATTTACTTTCCATCCCTGTGTATAGTTATTTTGCAAGTGATAAGGATTTAGCTTTAATGATTAAAAAGTAGGTAACTTATAGACTAGGGAGCCCTGATGGCACAGTGATTAAAGCGCTCAACTTCTGACTGAAAAGTCGGCCATTTGAACCCACCAGATGCTCTGCGGGAGAAAGACGACAGTCTGCTTCTGTGAAGATTACAGCCTTAGAAACCCCATGGGACAGTGCTGTCTTGTCTTATAGGGTCACCATGAGTTGGAATCGATTCAGCGGTAGTGGGTTTGGTTTGGTTTTTTAATTTATAGCGTGAAGTAATTGAAAAATCAGTAAAGGCTTCAGGCATAGTTGAATCCATGTACTCAAAAGATATTAAAGGCATCTGTCTATTCTTGGATCCACTTCCTTTACTGCATCCTTCTGGTTGAGGAATCGCAATGTAAAGAAATTCTTGGCCTGTATCTCCAGCAAAAGTCCTAGTTCTGACTCCTCTTGACCAACTTGGATGCCATACCTACCCCTAAATCAGTAAGAGGAATAACAGGCAAGGTGTGTACTTGGGACTGGGTGGGCAGCTCCTGGGAAGTGATGAGAAAGCTGTGCAGAGCAGCACATGAAGGCTCAATCAACATTTCTGACCCCAAGGTGCATGGGCTCCAGCTGAAAGGAGCCAGCTGCCCTGCCTGTGTTTGCTCCCTCATCCCAGGGAAGTGCCAGTGCCTGTGCCGCATGTCCTTGCCTTACAGAGTGCTCGGGACTGGGCAGTGCTCCAAGCTTGTCAGTGTATTCAGGGCTTGGGAATTCATTGATAAGCCAGATCTGGGTTAAGAGTGGAGCCAGGAGTGGTGTCAGCTCTGTCCAGATAACAGTGGCTGAGAATGGGTCAGGATAGTTCCCCAAAGGAAATTGAATATCTGCAGGGCAAGCAAAATCAACATGCTCGAGACAGTCCGCCTCTTGGCTCCCTGATGCTCCTGCTCTCACATCTGACCCTCTCTCTGGGGCCCCTGCTTCCTGGTTCACAGCCTCTTTCCCAACAGGTTGATTCCCATCCTTGTAAATGGGATGAAGTACTCAGAAATAGACATCATCCTGCTCAAGGTCAGTCAGGGCTAATTGCTGGGCATGGGTGGGTGAGGGCTGGGGCACTGGGGTGTGGGCCCTGGTGGTACTTAGTGGTCTTGCCCGGCCCCACAGGGGGATGTGGAGGAGGATGAGGCAGTTCCTGACAGCGAGCAGGACATCAAGCCGCGCTTCCACAAGTCACGCACAGTGACGCTGCCCCATGAGGCTGAGCGACCAGATGGATCCGAGGATGCGGAGGATGATGATGATGATGATGCTTTGTCTGACTGGAATCTGAGTGCGTGGCTGGCCTGGGGAGGGGGGTCGGCCCTGGGCTCCCTCTTGCAAGGCGATTAAAAACTTACTCGGAGTAGACTGTGAAAATTCTAATCATGATCGCCAGTCCTGGGGGCACAGTCGAGGAGGGCCGGCTGCCCTGAGCCTCCCTTCTCCAATTTCTCCACACCCTAGGGAAGTGCTCAGCAGCTGCACTGGACGTCCTCGCCAATGTTTTCCGGGAGGAACTGCTGCCCCACCTACTTCCCCTGCTCAAGGGCCTCCTCTTCCATCCTGAGTGGGTAGTCAAGGAGTCGGGCATCCTGGTGCTGGGCGCCATCGCTGAGGGTGAGTGCCTGCCCGCCTGCACCCAGGGAGGTGCCCACCTGGCCCATCTACTTGACCTTGAACTCCTGTGCAGGCGTGGGATTGTCTGAGGGATGCAGCCATGCGCCATTTGGGGCCCCATACCCGAGTTCTCTCCAGAGAGCTAGTTACCCCCGACCAAATAGCTCTTGGATGTAAACCTTTCCCTTGGGCTGTGGGCCTTGAAAGGAACCCAGAAACCCCACATGCCAGCCCTGTTAATTCTCAGACAGGCAATTCTCTGATGTTATAAGTACAATTTCAGCCACTGTAGTAAAAACAGGCTCCTCTGCAGTGCTTGCTCTGGGGCAGGTGGGCCTTGTTCCCAGGGCTCACACAGGTGCCCTCACTCAGTCCTCACCACACCTGACATCAGTGGGGAGACTGAGGTGCAGAAAGATTTACGTCCCCTTCCCACAGTCACCCAACTTGGTTGTGGTGGAGCTGGGCCTGCTTTCACCTGCGGGGCCAGGATCAGAGGTACGCAGTGGTTCTGTTTCCTTGAACTTCACACAGTGAAGGTTTTCAGGCTCATTTTGACCCACTGGGGAAATAAACCTTGACTTAATGGGAGGGCTTCATGAATCTGTAGGAGCCCTGGTGGTGAAGTGGTTAAGGGCTCGGCTGCTAACTGAAAGCTTGGCGGTTTGAACCCATCAGCTGTTCCACAGGAGAAAGATCTGGCAGTCTGCTTCCATAAAGCTCACAGCCCTGGAAACCCTATGGGGAAGTTCTACCCTGTCCTATAGGGTCACTATGAGTTTGAATCAACTCAACGGCAATGGGTTTTGGTTTTCGTGAATCTGTTGCAGGCATCACATGTGACCACTTTAGTATACAGGCCTGTCATAAAAGTTTCAGACATGGCAACCGGAGTTCTCAACCTGCAGAGCTGTTTAAAACTGAGGAAAGGTTTTTGTGTATGATGTGTGATTAAGGTAGCTGATGGTAATAGGATGTATGATCTATCATGCAGAGCGTGTGCATATACTATTAGATTATATTACGTGTACTGTATGTTAATGACTCGTAGTGATTTTATAGGACAGAGTAGAACTGCTCCCACAGGGCTTGGGGTGTTTTTTTAGAGGTATATATTAATGGGAAAAGATCTGGAGGAATTAACCCCCAACTGGTAAAAAAAAATAGATCTTGGGTTTTGGCTTACGGGGAATGTGCTCTTATGTGTCTCTCCTCTTTTACATTGAAAGAAAAACATGTTCGTGGTTAAAAAAAAAAAAAAAGATAAAGAAGAAAAAAATTAAAAACACAAACCTTCAAGGTTTTAATTGAAAAGTGCTTGCCATCCATCTGGGCCCTGTTGCCCCATAGAGCTTCTCACTGTATCCAGCCTGACAGTGTTTGAATGAATAAGTGTCCAGATAGGTAACACCACCATGTATCTGGCAGAGTGAAAAAGGCTAGGTCTGATGCGGTTTCCAGCCCTGACCTCGCCTTTCACTGGCTGTGTGACTGGGCGAGTTATTTAACCTCTGAGCCTCAGTTTCCCCATCTGTCAAATGGGGCTGATCCTCTCCCTGCGAGGGTGGGTGTAGTGGAGCCCAGCTGGGCTCAGGCTTGCACCTGTTCCGTGGCCCCACTGCTTCCTGTCTGCCGGCCCCTGTAGGTTGCATGCAGGGCATGGTGCCCTACTTGCCTGAGCTGATCCCACACCTGATCCAGTGCCTGTCAGACAAGAAGGCCTTGGTCCGCTCCATCGCCTGTTGGACGCTGAGCCGCTATGCCCACTGGGTGGTCAGCCAGCCGCCTGACATGCATCTCAAGCCCTTGATGACCGAGCTGCTCAAACGCATCTTGGATGGCAACAAGAGGGTACAAGAGGCAGCCTGCAGGTGACCCTCGACCCCGTCCCCATGGCCCCTGTCCCCACCCCACTGGCTGCCCTCTGGGAAGTGATGACACCTGTGACCCTTGACATCATGCTGATTCTCTTGTATTCGTACTGACTGATCCCAAGTGTAGCCTCCCCTGAATTCGTACTTGGCCGAGCTTGGCCTGTTGCTGCTTGCTGAGGCCCCATCCTGCTCTCCCTCCACCAGTGCCTTTGCCACCCTGGAGGAAGAGGCCTGCACGGAGCTGGTGCCCTACCTCAGCTACATCCTGGACACCCTCGTCTTTGCCTTCGGCAAGTACCAGCACAAGAACCTGCTCATCCTCTATGATGCCATCGGCACCCTGGCTGACTCTGTGGGCCACCACCTCAACCAGCCGGTGAGACACCCATAGCAGCTTCCTCCTCCCGATTCCTGGGCCCCTTGGCAACCAGTGACCTGGCGGCGACTCCGTGTCACATGCCAGGGACGTGGCCATGACCTCGCCAAGCAGACAGACAGACCCGGCCCCTGCCCTCGCCCTGCTCACAGTCTAGTGGGGGAGACAGACAGTTATGAGACAGTGTGGTAAGTGCTGTGTCCGGGGAAGCTCAGGGCCTGTGGGAACCAGGAGGTGCTGACCCAGGCTCTGAGAGGAGTGGAGTGGGGAAGGGGGTGTGGGTGGCACCGGTGAGAAGGCACTAAGAAAGGCCTGGAGGTCTGGCTGGCTGGTAAAGCCTTACAGGGCCCCATGTGCCATGCTCAGGAGTCCAGACTTCATTTCCTGGGTGGTGGGTGCCTTTGAGTCATGGAGCCCCGCTGGCTCTCAGCTTACCACCCCACCCAGGGGGCCCCAAATTCTTGCTGCTTCTCCAGGAATACATCCAGAAGCTGATGCCCCCACTGATCCAGAAGTGGAACGAGCTCAAGGATGAAGACAAGGACCTCTTCCCACTGCTGGAGGTAGTTGGGGTCCAGGCCTGCTCCCACAGCCCTGGCCCAGCCTGGCCCTCCTGGAGTTCACCTCTCCTGCCTTCCTCCCCACTAGTGCCTGTCGTCTGTGGCCACTGCCCTCCAGAGTGGCTTCCTGCCCTACTGTGAGCCTGTCTACCAGCGCTGTGTCACCCTGGTGCAGAAGACGCTGGCCCAGGCCATGGTGAGCACCACTCCCACCCCACCCCCACGACCATCTCCTGTGCTGCTGCCTCGGTCCCAGCCCCCTCCCCTCACGCTTCTCCCCTACTCCCATCTTGGCCCAGATGTACAACCAGCACCCTGAGCAGTACGAGGCCCCTGATAAGGACTTCATGATCGTGGCACTGGATCTGCTCAGCGGCCTGGCCGAAGGCCTGGGTGGCCACGTGGAGCAGCTGGTGGCCCGCAGCAACATCATGACACTGCTCTTCCAGTGCATGCAGGTTGGGGGATGCCTCTCAGAGGCCTGCACCCTACTTCCCAGCAGTCCCCAGGGTATTTAGCTAGACAGTGAAGTCCCTCAGTAGCCTGCGTCGGCCATCCTGAGAGAGATCAGGGCACTAATGTGTCCAAAGGACCCTATGGAAGAAGTACTCTTAAGAAAAGTTTCTGATTATTTTTAAAAAATGATTTAAGTAAGACAAGAATAAAATCTCATTAAAAAACAAACACTGTTGAAAGTAGACTAGCACTAGCCTCTCCCATTGTACTCCTTCCCCGAGAGTGTCAGGCTAGGCAGTGATGGCAGCTCCCCTGTAGTGGTACCGTGAGTAAAGCACTCTCTGTTCATATCCTCACTGACTCCTGGAGGGGGACTGGCACCCCCCGGTTACAGATGTGGGGCCTGAGGCTAGACAGGTTAAGGAGATGGCCCCAAGCCTGGCAGGGTCAGGTGGACACCATGGACTGTGTGTTCTTAAGGCCCTGGACTGAGGGATGAGTTGAGACCCTGGCTGGTAATGGCAACGGGGATGGGGGTGGGGGTGGAGCAGGCTGCCATGCTGAACCTACTCTGACCCCCAGGACTCCATGCCCGAGGTCCGGCAGAGCTCTTTTGCCCTCCTGGGCGACCTTACCAAAGCCTGCTTCATCCACGTCAAGCCCTGCATCGGTATGACCCCTATCTTGTCCTTGACCTATGACCCCAATCCCCCGCCTCAAATGATGGAAAAATGACCTGGGAGGATCATGACTGAACTGAGACGTATTCGTACTGTCTGATGGGGTCTGCTTGGCCAGGATCTAGGAGCTCACCCCTGCTGACCCTGCTGTTCAGCCCCCTCCCTTTCCCCCAACAGCTGAGTTCATGCCCATCCTGGGCACCAACCTGAACCCTGAGTTCATCTCAGTCTGCAACAATGCCACCTGGGCTATTGGCGAGATCTGCATGCAGATGGGTAAGTGAGCCTCCCCATTGGCTTGTCCCTGGCCTGGGGGCGGGAGCCTGGCTCTGACAGGGCTTCTCAAGACCAGCCTAGTGCTCTTTGAGGAAGGCTCCAGGTAGCAGGGGCAAGAGGACATCTCTGACCATTTTCCTCAAGGATGAGGCCAAAAGTCTCAAGGGGCATCTGACTGGCTTCTCCAAAGAGGCAGGAATGAAGGACTGTTCTCATTTGACCGTTTGCCACCCCCAGTGGGATTGGTTGAGAGATTTTGATTGCTTTTTTTCCAAGGGAGATTCAGGGGTGTGGTTTCACCATGGTGTCCAGCGGTGATTGCAGGGAAGCCTCTTGTGTTTGGAGGGCCTGGGTTTGTCTCTGGCTGGCCATGGGTCCTGGCTGGGGCCAGCTGGTTGGCCAGTCTCTAGTTGGAACCAGGGTTAGTGAGTGAGGTGGAGCTGGAGGAGTGAGGCAATATCTGATTGGCCTACAGCGGGTGGAGGGGCTGTGCGGGGCTCTGATTGACTGTCTTCCAGGGGCAGAGATGCAGCCCTATGTGCAGATGGTCCTCAACAACCTGGTGGAGATCATTAACCGGCCCAACACACCTAAGACGCTGCTGGAAAATACAGGTGGGCACTAGGCCTGGGCTGCTGGGGCCACCTTCACAGTACTCACCCCTCCTGCCCACCTTCCAGAGGTGGGGTTCTGGGCTGGGAGGGGCTGTCGAGAAGAGACCTTGGGAAAGAACCAGGGAGGGTATCTGTGTGGACCTGAGGGGATTCTGGGAGAAGCCTAAGAAGGGATGTCACCGTAGGGGGACAACCTGTCTGGGCCATACTTGGACCCAGGTTGGCTGGCAGTGCCGTTCCCTTGGGGTCCACGGGGCGGGGCTTGGTGCCTCGTGCCAGAGGTCCCGCCACGTACCGTCCCGGGGCCACTCGGGGTTTCAGGTCGCCTGACGAGTCCCTCTGCCATTCCAGCCATCACCATCGGCCGCCTGGGCTACGTGTGCCCCCAGGAGGTGGCACCCATGTTGCAGCAATTCATCCGGCCTTGGTGCGTGTCCACCTGTGTGGGTGCTTGCTGTACGGAGGGCTGGGCACTGATGGGTGGGACAGGCCTAGCCAGTTCCCTCCCTTGCACTTGCCCTGGCCCCGCCTGCTCACTGACCCCCTGTCCCCTTCCCCATAGATGCTCCTCCAGCCCCGCCTACTGACACGCCACTGCTCACCTTCCCCGTAGGTGCACATCCCTCAGGAACATCAGGGACAACGAGGAGAAGGATTCTGCCTTCCGAGGCATCTGCATGATGATAGGCGTCAACCCCGGGGGCGTCGTGCAGGTTGGGGCAGCTGGGCGCAGAGGGAAGGCACTGGGGCTGGTTTCGGGCAGCCCCTCACATGGGACCTGTCACGTTTCAGGACTTTATTTTCTTCTGTGATGCCGTAGCCTCCTGGGTGAGCCCGAAGGATGACCTTCGGGACATGTTTTATAAGGTGAGGCCCAGAAAGGGGCAGGAGGAAGCTCTCTGGGAGGAGAGGCTGGGCAGCCCACTCCAGCGTCCACCCTGGCATCCCTCATCCCATGACACCCCTCGCCTGTCCCTCCCACAGATTCTCCACGGCTTCAAAGACCAAGTCGGGGAGGAGAACTGGCAGCAGTTCTCAGAGCAGTTCCCACCACTGCTCAAGGAGCGGCTGGCTGCCTTCTACGGGGTCTAGACAGGCATCGGGACTGCCAGGTGAGGCCAAGGGCAGGGGGCGGTGCTGTGTTGACGGGACTGAAGGGACAGCCCTAACCCTCCTCCTTCCCTGCAGGTTTCTGTCTCCGTCGTCATCAGAGGGATTGCCGGGAGCGCGCTGCATCCAGAAGTCACCGTGCCCTGGTCGAGGGGGGTTAGGGAGGAGGAAGTGGGACTCAAATCCAGACGCCTACCCCGTCCGTCCACCTGCCGTGCCGGGCCTGTCTGGCCGGGGGGCGGGCAGGTGGGTGGGGCCTCCACACTCATCCTACAAACGGGGAGGGGGGTGGGAGTTCTTGGTGGGCAAGGGCCCCTTCACTCTAATTGTCTCAGGCGGCCCTCTTGGGCCAGCCACGTGGGAGGGAAGACTCAACACAACCGACCTTAATCCGGTTTAGGATGAGGAAAAGGGAAAGCAGGCGTAGAGAGGGGTCCTTGTAGAGACACGTACAGTCACACGTACATATGTGGCCACACACGTGTGGGCACTGCAGCCAGCAAGGCTCAGCCGGCCACCCCACCATTACCCCGACTGCATGGAGATAGTAGAATTAGTGAACCCCTGAGTTAACCCGTAAGGCCTTCCGTGTAACCTTCATCTAGAGTTTAAGAAGCTTCTGCCGTTTTGCCAGAATTGGCGGTGATTGGGGAGGGCTGGGTGGGTTGTGGGGCCTCAGCTGGGACCCCAGGGCGGGGGGAGGAGGACAGACATCTTGGGGCCACCTAGTCAGCACGCACACGCTTGGGACCTGTTCAGCAAACTTTCTGCCAGCTTCTGGCAGCCTCAGCCAGTATCTCTGTCCTTGTGCTGTCCCAGCCAGCAGGGTGGGGGTGGCCGGAAGGGCTGGCCAGAGGTGGCCTTGTCTCCCTCCCCTGTGCTCCAGCAGCCTCTGAAGACACTGGGCTGGGACCTTTTCCCAAAGAGAGCAAGCTGGGTGCAGCCGGATCTCCTGGCCCCCCTGCATCTCTCTCCGTAAGCAGCTTCAAAGGCAGTTTCTCTGTGCTGACAGCCCACTGCTCAAGCTCAGGCCTGAGTTTTAACACAAGGGCCAGAGCAGGGGCATTCAGTTGACGATCATAGAGGACGAAAACTTCGGCTTTGTCAGCAAGAAGGAAACTGAGGGCTTGGAGGAGGGAAAGAGTGGTGCACCCCTTGTCCTCCACTCTGTCCCCCTGGAACTTCCTGTTCATCACAGCCACCCTGCTTCTCCCAGTGGGCCCAGAGACTCCATTAGTTTGGGGTCAGTCGTTCTAGGGACCTGGGGATTTGTTGGGTCAGGGTGGGAGGGGATATATTAGGCAGGGAGTATGGTTCCTTCCAGGCTTGACTTGGCTGGGAAACCGGGCCAGCAACCCCTTAACTTTGTTTCTTTTTTCTCATCTCCTGCTTTCCACTCCTTTGGGGGCCGCTTGTGGTTTGGGGTTTGACTGGATTCCTCTACCCTGGAGCCTGCTCCATCCATTTGTCTGACACCGTGCACCCATCCCCATCCTAGCTGTGGGTTTTCTAAGACAGGGTTAGGCCTTGCCTCTATTCCAGGGTCCACTAAGTGCACATTCCATCAACTCAGCTTTCTGGTTTGTTTTTTCTCTGTAAAACTCGAGCAGGTCTCTGGAAGCTGTTTGTAAAGAAAAAAATGTTTTGATACCATTTAATTTTCTGGTAATTCTAGTTCTGTGGAGCGTCCTCCACCGGGTCTTGGAGTGTGCAGACAGATTGGCTGTCAAATGGGGTTGATAACCCCCTCTCCACCCAGGATGGGGGCGTCCAGCCATCTTTGGGGAAGGGGGGCCTGGTTCTAGTTTTCCTTTTAAGAAAACTATTTAATTTTAAAGTTTATTTTTGGTTGGTTTTTGCACAACGAAGTTTCAGCTTCTTAACCTTCTCCCCTGCTCAGGGCTGCGGACCCAGACTCGCTTTGATCCGCAGTTCCTCTCGCCACATTTCTTGCATCCCTCTCTCTCATCCCCTCCCGCTGCGGGCTGCCAAGTCTGTCCATTACCGTGCTGTGCTGGGGATTGGCGCCCAAGGTGGCGTGAGATTCCACTTGTGTAGAACTTTGTTGAGTAAAGATCAGTTCCTTGTGAAACCTTTAATCTCCATCTGGCCTCCTGTGTCCTTGACTTTAGTAGTGGGGAAGAGAGCTGTGGAGGGGGATCTGGGAAGCTTTAGAAATGGAGATGCATAGAACTCAGAGAAGTAGCTGGAGAGTGGGGAAGTAAGCAGACGTTAACCAGGCACGTTGCTTGGAACCACAAGCCTCTCAGTTTTCTTCCCTGTAAAATGAGAAGGCAAATGAGATAGTTGGAAGATTAAGTGTCATAACATACTTGAAATGAAAAGGGCAAGGCTTTGCACTATTGTCTTCAGCTGGGTGCACAACTGATCCACTAGCCAAGTTAGAAATATTTGTATAAGGCTCAGCTTAGCACCAGGCCTGTGGGAAACATGTCATTGTGACAGCTACTGAGACAAATGGAAATACCTCCAGCTCTGGACACATTTCAAGATCTAACCTGAAGTACAATGCTGTCAGTGACAGAATAATATCCATAAGCCTACAAGGAAGACCAATTAATAACTGTTATTCAAATTTATGCACCAACCACTAATGTCAAAGATGGATAAATTGAAGATTTTTTACCAAATTCTGCAGTCTGAAATTGATCAAACATGCAATCAAGATACATTGATAATAACTGGTGATTGGAATGTGAAACTTGGAAACAAGGAAAAGTAGTTGAAAGATAAGGCCTTGGTGATAGAAACAACACTGGAGATTGCATGAGAGAATTTTGCAAGACCCAACACCTGTTCATTGGAAATACCTTTTTTCAACAACATAAACATGTTCCTTGCCAGATGGAATAGACAGGAATTGGATTGACTACATCTGTGGAAAGAGACAATGGAGATGCTCAATATCAGAACAAGGCCAGGGGCTGACTGCAGAACAGACCATCAATTGCTCATAATGCAAGTTCAAGTTGAAGCTGAGAATAATTAAGACAAGTCCACGAGAGCCAAAGTAGGACCTTGAGTATATCCTACCTGAATTTAGAAACCATCTCAAGAAAATGTTTGATGCATTGCACACTGATGACTGAAGACCAGGCTAGTTGTAGGATGACATGAAAGGCATCATATGTGAAGAAAACAAAAGGTCATTAAAAACACAAGAAAGACCAAAATGGATGTCAGAGTAGCTAAAGCAAGTGGAACAAATGAAGTAAAACAGCTGAAAAGATTTCAAAGGGTGGCTCGAGAAGACAAAGTAAAGTACTATAATGAATTGTGCAAGACCTGGAGTTAAAAAAACAAAATGGAAGAACATGCTCAGCATTTCTCAAGCTGAAAGAACTGAAGAAATATTCAAGCCTCAAGTTGCAATATTGAAGGATTCTACGGGCAAAATATTAAACAACACAGGAAGCATCAAAAGAAGATGGAATACAGAGTCACTGTACCAAAAAGAGTTGGTTGACATTCACCCATTTTAAGAGGTAGCATATGATCAAGAACTGATAGTATTGAAGAAGTCCAAGTTGCACTGAAGACATTGGCGAAAAACAAGGCTGCAGGGATTGATGGAATACCAATTGAGATATTTCAGCAAACGGATGCAGCACCGGAAGCACTCACTCGTCTGCAGATAAATTTGGAAGACAGCTACTTGGCCAACTGACTGGAAGAGATCCATATTTATGGCTATGCCCAAGAAAGGTGATCTAACTGAATGCAGAAATTATCGAGCAGTATCATTAATATCACGCAAGTAAAATTTTGCTGAAAATCATTAAAAAGTGGTTGCAGCAGTGCATTGACAGGGAACTGCTAGAAATTCAAGCCAGATTCAGAAGAGGACGTAGAATGAGGGATGTCATTGCTGATGTCAGACGGATCTTGTCTGAAAGCAGAAAATACCAGAAAGATGTTTACCTGTGTTTTATTGACTATGCAAAGGTATTCAAGTGTGTGGATCATAACAAATTATGGATAACATTGGAAAGAATGGGAATTCTAGAACACTTAATTGTGCTCGTGCAGAATCTATACATAGAAAAAGAGGCAGTCATTCCAACAGAACAAGAGGATACTGCATGATTTAAAATGAGGAAGGGTGTGTGTCAGGGTTGTATTCTTTCACCATACTTATTCAATCTGTATGCTGAGCAAATAATCCAAGAAGCTGGACTATATCAAGAAGAATATGGCGTCAGGATTGGGGGAAGACTCATTAACAGCCCCTGATATGCAGATGACACAGCTTTGCTTGCTGAAAGTGAAGAGGACTTGAAGCACTTACTGATTAAAATCAAAGACTACAGCCTTCAGTATGTATTACACCTCAACATAAAACAAAAATCCTCACAAGTGGACCAATAAGCAACATCATAATAAAGAGAAAATATTGACGTTGTGAAGGATTTTATTTTACTTGGATCCACAATCAACGCCCATGGAAGCAGCATTCAAGAAATCAAACAATGTACTGAACTGGGCAGATCTGCTGCAAAAGACCTCTTTAAAGTGTTAATAAGCACTTAATAAGGACTAAGGTGCGCCTGACCCAAGCCATGGTATTTTCAGTCACTTCATATGCATGTAAAAGCTGGACAATGAATAAGGAAGTCCAAAGAAGAATTGATGCCTTTGAATTATGGTGCTGGTGAAGAATGTTGGATATACCATGGACTGCAGAAGAATGAACAAATCTATGTTGGAAGACGTACAGACAGAATGCTTCTTCAAAGCAAGGATGACAAGACTTTGTCTCATGTATTTTGGATATGTTATCAGGAGGGACTAGTAGAACATCATGCTTGGTAGAGGACCAGTGAAAAAGAGAAAGACTCTCAACAAGATGGGCTTACACAGTGGCTGCAACAATGGGCTTAAACATAGCAATGATTATGAGGGTGATGCAGGACCAGACAGTGCTTTGTTGTGTTATACATAGGGTCACTATGAGCTGGAACTGACTAGACAGCACCTAACAACAATGACGACACACAAGCCTCAGAAAAAATCTTATTGCTACCTCAGTATGGCCCAAGGATCACCTGCATGAACACGGGGAAAACTAAAAATGCTGACACACACTCTCTTCGAGTTTATTCAACTCATAGCGACTCGACAGAGTAGAACTACCCCATAGGGTTTCCAATGCTGTAATCTTTTAAGGAAGCAGACTGCCACATCTTTCTCACGCTGAACAGCTGGTGTGTTTGACCTGTTAACCTTTCTGTTAGAAGCTGAGTGCTTAACCACTGTACCACCAGGGCTGCTTCCACTGACATATACAACACAACTCTCCTGAATGCCGTTCTGGAGGTCCTCATTTTAAAGCCAGCATTCATTCAACAAACAACGCATATATTCTAGTGATGATAATTGACAATAAATAGCAAAACACACAGTGGTATTGAAATATGGCGGCAAGCGGGAAGTTGGGAAAATGTTGCAGTCTTACGTAGGATCTAGCAAGAGCCATTGGCTATTTAAAAGAGTCAGGCAAAGGGAACAGCACGTGCTATTGTGAGATGATTTGTGTTAACACTGTCTGGCCCCAAACAGCCTTTCAGTAAATAAGATGGTATTTTTAACAGTATGATTTTTGTTCATTCAGGGTATTTCATTGAGGCTTGGGTGCCTTGTAATGTTTCTGGCTCTGGAAAAGGTGAGAAAGGAGTTCGAATCACTACCCTGCCCCAGACTCCTATCTTGAAAAGGGCCTTCTCGTTTCTAAGCTCAGTGTCACTTGTAAGAGGTGCCTTCGACAGAGCTGCGGTTGTTTAAAAAAAAATGCAGGAACGAAGAACCTGCATTTTCCAGCGTGCCCGTAAGTCCGACGCATCTGCAGACTAAGACCCCTCCACCAAGAGGTCGGTGGAGAGCAAGTCAGTTTCCGTAGTAGTCCCGCCCTTTCTGTCGGCGCATAAACGTCATCATGATGCGCCGGAAGTGCCCTCACGCTGCCTAGGAGACAGGACGCTGGGCCCACAGCTGACAAGGGAGGGCCAGCCGCGCCCATCGGGCCGTCATGGAACTGCCTCTAGGGCCGTGCGATGATCCCCGCGCTTGGGACTACGACTCGGACCCGGACCCGGACCCGGAGCCCGATCCCGACGCACAGGCCGAAGCCTACGTCGCCCGTGTGCTCAGTCCGCCGAAACCCGGGCTGGGGCCCCTGCGCGCCCCGCTGCTGCCAGTGCCTGACGCGTCCCCTGGCGCCCTGGAGCCGCGGGCTGCGTCCAAGGTTTCGGCCGTAGGTGTCCCAGGCCTGCTGAGCCTCCCCCCAGAGCTGCTGCTGGAGATCTGCGCCTACCTGGACGCGAGCCTTGTGCTCCAGGTCCTGCCGCGAGTATGCCATGCACTGCGCGACCTTGTGCGTGACCATGTCACTTGGAGGCTACGCGCGCAGCGCCGCGTACGCGCGCCCTACCCAGTGGTGGAAGGTGCGCGCGCCCGGGGCCGGGGCTGCCCGCCCAGGTCAGGCTTGGGACGGGGGAGAGGTTGCAGAGGACACCCGACGTGCTGGGGGCATAGCCCCTGGAGCAGGCTTCGTGGGTGTTCTGGCTTTGGCTGGAGGCCCAAGTAGTTACTGATGGCGCCAAAGCCCCTGAACTCTGGGTGTACCATGAAGCAGACACTTGGGGTCCTGAGACTGTGGAAACCTACAGGGGATGGTGGGGGGACTGGGGTCCCTTACCTGAGAATCCAAAGGTCCTCAGGCTTTGGGTCGGTTGATATCAAAGTCCAGACCCCTGGGTGACGGCTGACACAGGGACTTGAAGTCTCAGGCTTGGCATCTTGGAACCTATACTTGGCATTCGAGATAAGCCCAAGAATCCTCAGATGTAGAGTTCTGGGCAGCAACTGATGACTCCAAAGCCCCTGATCTCTAGAGCCTTGACCTAGGAAGGCGTGAGGCAGGGACTTAGTGTACCCAGCCTGTAGCCTTGAACCCAGACTAGGGTTTAGGGGATTGGATCCCTGACATCAGTATCCACAGATCGTCAAGCCCTGGATCTAGCTTGTGGTCTTAGGCAGGGGCTGGTGGTCACTTCCCCTGCCCTAGAGGTCATGGGTCCCTGGGGGATAAGACAGCTTGGGGACTCTGAATTGATATTGTTGGTCCTGAGACAGTGACCTCTTGGCTCCTCAGGCCCTTGCCCCATCCTGAGTAATAAGCTGGGTAGTTGATTATCCTAACTTGGAAGGTTTGATCTGCAGAGATCAATGATTCTCAAGGTGTTGCCATCTAAGCATCTTGATCAGATTCTCCCTACCAGCTTGATAACATAGATGCCTGATGCCTGAAAGTCGAGGGGCTGAGGTCAGACCTCAATGTCCTGAGGCTGCTGCCCTTCCCTAGTCTCAGGTTGGGGAATTAGGCCTGCAAAAGTGGTCCTGAGGCTCCAGATCTCCAATTTCTGGAAACTGGGGTGAGGAGTCATCTTACGTCTGCCTAAGGGGTGAGTGCGCAGTGGTCCCGAGGTGGAGTGGGGAGAAGGATTCAGGTGGTGGTCTGTTTAAGTCTGGTGCAGGTCAGGATCCCTGGAGCCAGGGGTGGGATTGGCCAGCTGATGTGGGTGGCAGGGTCCCTGCCCACCAGGGACCCTGCATCTGGTGCCCTACAGAGGAGGACTTTGACTGGCCAACCGCCTGCATTGAGCTGGAGCAGCACCTGGCACGCTGGGCAGAGGATGGGCGTCGGGCTGAGTACTTCTGCCTGGCCGATGGGCACTTTGCTTCTGTTGACTCCGTGCTGCTGCTCCAGGTGAGACGGGGCCAGCTGTGGGCGAGGCAGGGGTGGGCCGGGGTGGACCCCAGCAACATTGCCTCTCTCTCCTCCCAGGGTGGGGCGCTCTGTCTGTCAGGCTCCAGAGATCGCAATGTCAACCTGTGGGACCTGCGGCAGTTGGGAACGGAGCCCAGCCAGGTTCTGGTCAAGGCCCTAGGCACCCAGCCGAACAGCACCCACAAGGTGAGGGAACAGGCAGGGAAGAAGACGTGAGGCTTGCGGCAGGGCACTAAGGGTAAGGGCATGGGTTTTGGCACCAGTCCTCAGATTTGTATCTAGACTCTGCCCCTGCTGGTGTGACTTTGGGTGAGATGTGTGACGTCTCTGTGCCTCAGTTTCTGCTTCTGTCCAACGGGCAGTTATGAGGATGAAGAGCTTCACTAAGGCACTGACAGTTGGTGGTGCTCAATAGGTGTCAGGTAAACCCTGAAAAGGAGTCTCTGGTGGCACAAACGGTTAAGTGCTCAGCTGCTAACTGAAAGGTTGGCAGTTCAAATCCCACAGGCCCCTTGGAAGAAAAGCCTGGCGATCTACTTCTGAAAGGTCATAGCCTGTGGAGCTCAGTTATACTCTGATGCACCTGGGGTTGCCATGAGTCGGAATTGACTTGACGGCAACTGTTTTTTTTTTTTTTTTTTTAAGAGGTATGCCCTTAAAAGACCACCCTTAAGAATCAGAGAGCCCTGAGCATGACTGTCACTTTGTGAGAAATGGCCACAAAGGGCACATCCACCAGCCATTGAGGTGGTCCAGGCTGGTGACCAGGAGCTTGCGCTTGGAGCCTGAGTGCTGTGTTCAAATCCCCGCTCTGCTACTTCCTGGCTCTGTGACCTTGAATGAGAGACTCAACCCCTCTGTGCCCTAGTTTCCTTATTTGTAAAACAGGACACATCACAGTACCCGCCTCAGGGGATTTGGTAAGGAATTAGTCAGGAGCCCACATTCTGTGCGTGTTAGCTGCTGAGGCGGGGGCCCATATTGCCAATGAACAATCTGAGGGAGGGGACGTGAATTGCTTGGGTCACAGAGTGGAGGTGCCACTTTTAACCATATTGTCTTGCGGCCTCAAGCCACCATTGGTGTTGAGTCTCCTCAGGACTTGACTTTAAAATGTTATTGGGTGGGTGTGTGCATGCCCCAGGCTTTGAAGTCGGATAGACCTACAGACCCAAGCTCTACTCTCAACTTGGTACTGACTTGCTCTGAGTTCTTGAGTCAGTTGTCTCCCTCCTCTGACCCTCAATTTTATTAATAGTGTATGAAATGGGTATGATCATAAGAAACTAAAGTTGTACTGCAGTCTGTCAAAGCGAGTGTTAAAGGGGAAGCTGTGTGGCTTTGGGTCAGCCTATTGACCTTTCTGAGCCTCATCTGCAAAAATAGGGAAGGCCACAGGCTTCCTCTCACTGGGCTCCTGTGAGGAGCCCTGAGCTAAACACAGCCCATAAGGTGGGGCACCCATGTGTGACTGCTGTGCCCTGGTCCCACAGGGCTGGGTGTGGTCCCTGGCGGCCCAGGACCACCGTGTGTGCTCCGGCTCCTGGGACAGCACGGTGAAGCTCTGGGACATGGCGGCTGACGGACAGCAGTTCGGCGAGATAAAGTATGAGGGGTCATGGGCAAAGGGGACTGGGGAGGCAGGGCCCTGGCTAGCCACAGCCCCAGCCCTGTGGTCTGTGTGTCCCCAGGGGCAAAGCCGCCGTGCTGTGCCTTTCTTATCGGCCTGACATCCTGGTGACGGGCACCTATGACAAGAAGGTGACCGTCTACGACCCCAGAGGTGGGCCAGGGGCCCTGGGCGTGGGTGGGAGAGCAGGGCTGCCTGGGATATCTAGGGTCAGGCAGGAGGAAACATTCATGGGATTCTCAGCCTGACCGGGGTGACAGGCACATCACCCCATGCTAACCACTCAGGGTGACCAGTGCTGTGGTGGATGCAACATGCGTGATTGGGGGGTGGGGGCAGAGGAGGCCTAAAATTAGGACAGTAATAATAACAGCAGCACTATAGGGTTAATCGGAAGACAACGATAATAACATTGACTTCATAGGGTTAACAGGTGGATTAGATAAATTAGTATACATAAAATGCCTAGACTACTGCCTGGCACGTATATCTGTTCTGTTGCTTATTTACTGATTCGTTTTTATTGTGTTTAATTGGAGGCTCTGTTTGTTATCGGGAGCCCTGGTGGCACAGTGGTTAAAGCATTCGGCTGCTAACTGAAAGGTCGGCGGTTCAAACTCAGCCACCACTCCATGGGAGAAAGATTTGGCAGTCTGCTTCTGTAAAGATTACAGCCTTGGAAGCCCTAAGGAGCAGTTCTACTCTGTCCTATAAGGTCCTTATGAGTCGGAATCAACTGACAGCAACAGGTTTTGGTTTGATGCATTATCCAGGTGGAGCCAGACCAGGGGGCCGCGGATGGAGGAGTGTCCCAGTAGGCCCAGTGCAGGCAGAGGTGTTTTTCACTGGGACTTGCCTTGGTCAGCTCTGCCCTGAGAGGAATAGTGGGATTGGAGCAGGGAGATGGGACAGGAGGTGGGGGAGCAGAGGCAGGGTCAGGGGAAGAGAGGTCCTGGGGAGGCCTGGATCCAGCTGGCCTGGGATAGGAGGGGAGAGACGGGGTGGGGAACAGGGCAGTCAGAGGGTTTTGCCAGGGAGTATAGAGGCACGGGAACCTCTGGTAGGCTGGGGTTGCCTGAGGGGCTCTGATACCCCTGTCCCCGCATCTTCCCTGGTGCGTGGCCCCCGCAGCCGGCCCGACCCTGCTGAAGAGCCGACGGCTACACTCCAGTGCAGTGCTGGCGCTGCTGGCTGACGACCGGCACATCATCTCAGGCAGCGAGGACCACACACTTGTGGTGTTTGACCGCCGAGCCAACAGCGTCCTACAGCGGCTGCAGGTGGGAGCCTCCCCTGGGACCCCAAGGGACTGGGGCTGAAGCCTGGCAGGGCATGGCCTGAGCTGCTGTGTTCTCGATCCCTCCTGCAGCTGGACTCGTACCTGCTCTGCATGTCCTACCAGGAGCCCCAGCTCTGGGCTGGTGACAACCAGGGCCTGCTGCACGTATTCGCCAACCGCAACGGCTGCTTCCAGCTTGTCCGGGTCTGCCAGGGCCCTGTCTGGGCCTCCTTCCTACTCCCTGGCCCTGGGTGGTGGTGAAGGGCTGGCCTTGGGAGAGCCACGTCTGAGTGTCATTTGTCTCTCTTCACTCTGCAGTCCTTCGATGTGGGTCACAGGTCTCAGATCACAGGGATCAAACACTCGCTGGGGGCCTTGTACACCACGTCCACCGACAAGACCATCCGGGTGAGACCCGGGCCCAGCCCCTGCCTCCAGGACAGTCTGCCCCCTTGACCCGGTGCAGACTCCTTGACCTTTGACCTTTGCCCCTCATCAGGTGCACGTGCCCACAGACCCTCCGAAGACCATCTGCACCCGTAACCACCACAACGTGCTGAATGGGGTAAGACCCGCACCCTACCCCCTGCTCTGGTGCCCAGAGCGCCCCTGACACCTTACTTCCCTGCCCACCCAGATCTGTGCTGAGGGCAACCTCGTGGTTGCTGCCTCCGGGGGCCTGTCGCTGGAAGTCTGGAGGCTACAGGCCTGAGCAGATGGATGTGGATACCACTGGCCAGCAGGCTGGCCGCGGCCACTGTTCTCGGGACCTTCCCCGACGTTGGTGCTGCCTCTCCTAGCCCCGCAGGCCTAGGGTACCAAGGAGTCTGGGCCATGGTCGGGCTGGGGTCCCTGGGCTGGTCCCCATGCCAGCAGCTGTGATACTGGAGTTCTAGCCCATCTGGGGGACTGTTCCCCAATGTCGGGCCCTGTTTTTGTTATGATCTGGACACCTTGCTCTCTGTTGAAAAGTTGAGAATGAAGAAGAAATAAACCTGATATAATGTTACTGTCAGCTTGGTGTAGCCCTACTAGTGTCTGCTTGGGGCTGTGATGCTGTAGGGGTGTGTGGGAGTCAGCGTGAGAGACAGTGTGTAAGGACGGGGCTGGACATGTTGGTGGGACTAGGCATGGAAGCTGCGGGTGCTTGTTTCCATGACTTGTGTCTGTGTGCCTGTGCCAGCCACCAGTGTATTTTGTGAGTCACACGAGTGATCGTGTGTGTTTGTGTGTCACTGGGTAGGCAGGTTTGGCGGTGTTTGCTGCTGTGGTAACCCTGTCTGTGCGTGTCTGCAGGCTTGTGTGTGTGTGTGTGAGGAACAGAGACTTGAGTACTGTGGGCACTTGTTTCTATGTTCCCACCTCTGTGTGTGAGACACAAGCATGTGCATGTATGTGTGTGAATGAGAGAGCCACGTGGGGGAGTGTGGAACATGTGTGATGTGTGCATGAGAGACGTGTGTGTGATGTGTGTGTGTGAGATGTGTGGGTGTGCAGATTATGACTCTAACCTGGTGTGTGTATGCACAGTGGGAGTGTGAAGGCATGTATGCTACCCCCTAGGTGCAGGGGTAAGGGTGGGCTGGGTGGTAGGTGCATGCTGTTCCTCCAGGATGTGTGTGTGCTGCTGTGGTGATGACCCCGAGGTAAAGGGGGGAGTGGCTGGGCCAGGTGTGCGCCTGGCCCCGGCAAGACCACAGTCCCACCCGTGCCCCCATCTCAGCCCAGCCAAGCCATGCCCTAAGAAGCATTCACTTCATGTTTATTGAGGGGCTCTGGGTCGCAGGCCGCAGGGTCATAAGATGGTACAGGGCTTCTTCTCCTTGAAGGGGTTGGTGGCAGCTGGAATACCCACAAGGAAAGGATCGCTCTTGGCCTGCTCCGTGCAGAACTGCAGCAGGTCGGTGGCCGCCTTGGACACCTGCAGACCAACCCAGTCAGCCAGAGCCAGACCTGGCTGTTCACCTGCCCCCTCAGCCCACATGTGCCCTCACCTCACCCCCACTTCCCGCCCCACCCCGCTCTCACCTTCACGCGGTCAATGCCTGCCTCCATCCGCAGCTGCTCCACAGCCCGACGGGCCTGCCCAATATCACTGCCAGTGGCCACCTTGCTGGACATCTGGGGGAGGGTGAGCAGGGGCGTGGGCAGAGGGCCCAACCTCAGACCCTGAGCCTGAGGGCTACCTGAGGGCCCCCACACCTTTGTGTCCCTTGGGGACTGTGGGGGAGGGGTGGCTACTCCCCGACCCCTGGTACCTCGGCTGAGGACTTCTGTCGGCAAATGCCTGGCTGCCTGATCTGTCTGTTGCCAGCCCCACTCTGGCTCAGTCCCTCCCCCCACACCAGCCCCTCGTCTCCCTCCTCTCCCTCCCCCACCCCTGCAGAGACTTTGAAGCCAGGATGCTCCTGAAGTGAAAAGTCACCAGCAGGCAGCAGCTGCCTCTGCCTAGGGCGTCTGTGCCCCAGGAGGCCCAGGGCAGCCACAAGACTGCCCTAGTGTCACATGTCACCAGGTCCCTAGGGGACTGAGCCCTTCAGGCTGGAGGAGTGCGAAAGCCCTGGCCATCTGGACGCAGCCCCTGCCTCTCCTCTCTGTCTACACTCCCAGCCACAGATTACTCCACCCACTTGCTTAGAGTGATGGCTTCCTCTGTCCCCATCCCAGCCCCGAGGGCCTACCTCCCTCCTCCCCCGGTCACAGGCATCTCAGACCTAACTGCCAAAATGAGAGTCTGAATTATCTTCCCCCAGACCTCCTGCCCTGGAGGAAAGCTCACCACCACCCACCCAATTGCTCAAACCAAAATCTCCAAGTCCTTCATTCCTTTTTCTAGTAATACTCTGTCAAGTGCCTTTAGATAACTTTCAAATTGGGTTGTGAGTCTGGTCACTTCTCTCCACCTTTGTTGATCCCGCCCTGGCCCAGCCCCCATCTCCACTAGTGTCCAGCTCCTGCCCTCCCCCACTCCCTGTTCTCCTGCATGCAGCCAGTGGGAATCTGTTAAAAAATAAGAGTCTCTAGATCACTTTCTTAAAACTCTCCAAAGCCTTCTCAGCCCCTTAGAATAAGACCCTCCCTCCTCACCTCATCAGACAGGGGCCTGCCTGGTCTTTGAGTTCATTTCCTATTGGCCTCTTCCTCCCTCATTCCTCACTGACCACCCTGACACCCTTGTGGTCATTCATTCATTCAGCATATTTGTTGAGATCCTCATATGTGCTGGGCACTGCTCAAAGAGCAGGAGGAGCAACAATGAAACAAGACAAAGCCTGCTCTCATGGATCGGCCGTTCTAGCTGGGGAGGGATGGACAAGTAGATAACATGCATACTATAATGTACACACACGTGTACTTACAGAAGCAAGGTGAGGCCGAAGTGAGGCTGAGAAGGGGATGCTGAGGGAGGGCTTCTCAGAGGAGGTGACATTTGAGCCAAGACTGGGAGGAGGAGCTAGAGAAGGGATGTTCCAGGCAGAGGGAGCAGCAGGTGCATTAGCCCTTGGTCAGGAAAGAGCTTGGCATCTTCTACGAACAGCAAAGGAGGTAGTGTAGCTGGAGAGGAGTAAGCGAGGGCAAGCAGGGGGAGATGGGGCAGGGAGGTCAGCAGGCCCTCCAAGGGGGAAGCCCCCGTTAGAGGGTTTTAATGAGGAATGACATGTCTGATTTATTTCTACAGAAGAGCTCTCTGGCCTGTGCTGGGAGACATTCGAGGGAAGGAAATCCAGCATAGAGGTCACAGGGATGGAGATGTTGTTAGGTGCCTTCTAGGCAGTTCCAACTCATAGCGACCCTATGTACAACAAAATGAAACACTGCGCCATCCTCATAATCGTTGTTATGCTCGAGCCCATTGTTGCAGCTACTGTGTCAATCCATCTAATTGAGGGCCTTTCTCTTTTTCACTGACCTTCTACTTTACCAAGCATGATGTCTTTCTCCAAGGACTGGTCCCTTCTGATAACATGTCCAAAGTATCCATCCTTGCTTCTAAGGAGCATTCTGGCTGTACTTCTTCCAAGATAGATCTGTTCATTCTTCTGGCAATCCATGGTATATTCGGTATTCTTCGCCAACACCGTAATTCAAAGGGGTCAATTCTTCTTTAGTCTTCCTTATTCACTGTCCAGCTTTTGCATGCATGAGGTGATTGAAAACACCATGGCTTGGGTCAGGATGGAGGTAAGCGCTTGGATTTGGGACCTATTTTGTAGGTAGAGCTTAGCAGATGTGCTGATGGATGGATGGGAGCTTGAGAGAAGGGGAGACATCAAGCTCAACACCTCAGTATTTAGCCAAGTAGAGGAGTGGAGGGTAGGATCATTTGCCAAGACAGGGATGACTGCAGGGGATCAGATTTAGGTGGAGAGGAAACAGAGGTGGAGCGTTTCAGGTTCTCATGGGGATGTCAGGAAGGATCTCTGTTCCTCCAATACAGTGTGCTCATTTCGAGGCTCAGGGCCTTTGTGTGGTACTTTTCTCTCCTGGAATCCACTGCCCCAACCACCCCATACACATGTTCACATAGTAGGGCCTCTCTCAGCCTTCTGATCTTGGATCAAATGTCACCCTTGCTGTCCTTTCCTAACCAATGTTGTTGTATCTCCCCAATCAGACTGTGGGCTGCAGGTGTCTTGTTCACTGCTAAAATGGCAGCACATAGCACAAAGCCCAACATGTAGTGCGGCCTCTACACATTGTAGACTGAGTGAATAAAGGGGCCTCTTCTGGACTAGACCCTGTGCACAGTTAGGAGGATGCCTGAGGTACAGACCCTGCCCTCAAAGGTCTCACAGTTTCGCTGGGGTGGGGGGAGGGGGGAAGAGGTCAACCCTGGATCCCAGAAGAGGCCCTGACCATTCTAGGTCAGGGAAGGATTCCTAGAGGAAGTGGTAGCCGAAGCTGGGGAGGCGGGGAGAGGGAAGGGAAAAGAAAAGCAGAGGGTTATGCTGCACGGGGAGGCTCTGGAGACTTGCGAGGGCACAGCAAGGATCACTGTCCCATTCGACGAGAGAGACTCAGAACCGGGAAAGTGTGTCCGACACTGCCTGGCGACCCAAATCTGTACAAGGGCGACACCTCCTCGAGGGCATAGAAATGGGCAGGGGAAGCTCGGAGTAACGCGACAGGTCTCCAGTAGGTGGCAGTAAAGGTAGAAATCTTCATTCCTCTGAGGCTGAGAACAAACGAAACAGAAAACACAAGCTCCCCGCGGCTTCCGTACTACTGAGCGCTTCCCAAAGACGGCAGCACCCTGGACTCTCCGCCTCCAAAGAGAATCATGTGACTGAACAACTTCCGGCCCTTCTCGCCAGGGTTCTGCACAAGCTTCACTTCCGGCGCTTTTGTAGAGCCGCTTGTGCTGGGGCCAAGTGTTTTAACCCCGCCGGCGGCCTGGCCGGGTGCGGCTCTGGCTTGAGAACGCGGCCGTAGGCGCATGGAAGGCCCCTCGGAAGGGGAGGCGCCCGCGGCGGCGCTGGCCGCCGTGCTGAAGCACAGCTCTGCGCTGCCGCCCGAGAGTGCCCAGGTCCGGGGCTATGACTTCAACCGCGGTGTGGATTACCGCGCACTGCTGGAATCCTTCGGCACCACCGGCTTCCAGGCCACCAACTTCGGGCGCGCGGTGCAGCAAGTCAACGCAATGGTGAGGCCTGGAGTAGGACTTTCTGTGGTGGGGCGGAGCGTGGCCTCCGATAGGAACAGTGCAGTACTTAGAGGGGGCGGGCAGGAGCGGTCCAATAGCTGGAGAGAGGCGGGGCCTGTCTTGGGCTAGTTTCTGTGTTACGAAAGGACCCCAGTTGGGAAAGCTTGGTATCTGCAAAAGGTGGGGCCTGATTCTAGGTAGGTGGCGGGTTTAGGCAAAGAGCGCTGTGTGGACTGGGCAAAGCGGTAGTGTTAGGGGAAGGAATAGAGGAGGAGCCTAAGTCAGAGCGGCCCCTGAGTTTGGGTTTGCACTTCTCAGCTTAAAAGGGACCAGGTCTGCAAAGGAGTTGCTTTCTGAAAGGTGCAAGGCCTCAGCCTTTGGCCTGAGGTCGTGGTGGGAAGGGGTCGGGGCCTGCACAGAGCGCGTTTTATGGACCCAGGTAAAAGTGTTCCTGTATCCCTGAGTGGGCAGGGCCTGGGGATGGAGTCAGACTCTGGAATCGATCTGCGGCCCTTGAGCTGGGTCATGGGGCCAGACAGAGCTCTGCTCACCCGGCCCCTACATTCAGATCGAGAAGAAGCTGGAGCCGCTGTCACAGGAGGAGGACCAGCATGCAGACCTGACCCAGAGCCGCCGCCCGCTCACCGGCTGCACCATTTTCCTGGGCTACACGTCCAATCTCATCAGCTCGGGCATCCGTGAGACCATCCGCTACCTTGTACAGCACAACATGGTGGGGACTCGGTGGGCCTGTGGCTTTGGCCTCTCAGTCTCAATTGGGAATAAGATCATTATTTAAGTGAGATGGGGAACTATGGGTCAGTTTTAAGGAGTGAGTTTGTTTTGTAGCAGAGTTCCTCTCTAAGGGTCGTTAGTTGAGGGTTGGGGGTTTGGAGCTTGCTTTGGGCATAACAGGGTCCACCTTCCTGGCCAACCTGGATGTCTTCTGGCTGCAGGTAGATGTCCTGGTGACCACGGCGGGGGGCGTGGAGGAGGATTTCATCAAGTGCCTGGCACCCACCTACCTGGGCGAGTTTAGCCTCAGGGGGAAGGAGCTCCGGGAGAATGGGATCAACAGGTGGGGAGCCCTGAGTGGTGCTGGGCAGGGGGTCTGGGCCAAGGGGTTCAGGTCTTGATGGCCACCCTCCTCCTGCCTTCAGGATTGGGAACCTATTGGTGCCCAATGACAATTACTGCAAGTTTGAGGATTGGCTCATGCCCATTCTGGATCAGATGGTGCTGGAGCAGAACACAGAGGTGGGGCCAGGGCAGCCTTGGGGGTAAACATGGTGGGGGTCAGTGTTGGAGCCGGCTGAAGCAGCTTTCCCCTCCTAGGGTGTGAAGTGGACACCGTCCAAGATGATCGCCCGGCTCGGCAAGGAGATCAACAATCCAGAGTCGGTGTATTACTGGGCCCAGAAGGTGAGGGGGCTGGGTGGAGGCAGGGCAGCAACCAATTCTCAGGTGTTTCACCTTCACAGCCACCGGGGGAGTCAGTGCTGTTACTCTGATCATCCTCACGATATAGATGGGGAACTTCAGACACAGAGAGGTTAAGTAATTTGTCTGAGGTCACCTAGCCACCAAGTAGGGTCCTGGGAAGCAGTTGGGGGCAGCACTTAGCAACCTCCCTCCCAAAGGCTACAAGGTCCAGCAGTCTGAAAAATAACAAGAGCTGTCACTCTTTATGTGCTAGATATTGTCTGAAGTATTTTGTGTGGGTTATCTCATGTATGTCTCCTCACCTGAGGGAGATGCTGTTATCATTTTACAATTGAGGAAACTGAGGCCCAGAAAAGTTAAGTACCCTGCCCACAATCAGGCAGGAGGAAGGGGTGCGCTGGGGACAGAGACCAGGCTGCCCCCACCGCTCTGAGCTCCAGCCCCTGCCCTCCCCAGAACCATATCCCTGTGTTGAGCCCAGCGCTCACGGATGGCTCGTTGGGTGACATGATCTTCTTCCATTCCTACAAGAATCCTGGCCTGGTCCTGGACATCGTTGAGGGTGAGGTACTGGGGCCACTATGGAGGTGGCATGGGAGGAGGGCCAGTTGGGCTCAAGGCCTGAACACAGCCTTTCTTCCCCTAGACCTGAGGCTCATCAATACACAGGCCATCTTTGCCAAGCGTTCTGGAATGATCATCCTGGGTGGGGGCCTGATCAAGCACCATATTGCCAATGCCAACCTCATGGTGAGTGGGCTCACGGAGGGCAGTAAAAGGGTGCAGGCTGGGGGATGGTACCTGTGCCCAGTCCACAGTGGGAGTGGCACAGATACGCCTGTGTGCTCGGCCTTGTGCTACACACTAGGGAGACAGCTGTGGACTAGACAGGCAGGGATACCTGTCCTCCAGGGACAGCCAGCCAAAGGACATGTATGTCAGGTGGCAGTAAGTGCTGTGGGGAAAAGTAAGGTTGGGTGATGGCATGGCAAGAGAAATGGGTGCTGTTCAATAAAGGGTGTTTGAGGGGAGCCTTTCTGAGAAATGGGACCCATAAGTAAAGATTTACATGAGGTGCCTCCCGTGAGTCATGTGGGTATCTCGGGGAAGAGTTCTGGGCAGCGGGAAAAGTCAATGCAAAGGCTCTGAAGAGCCTGAAGTGTAACAGTTAGGAGGCCGGTAGGGGGAAGAGTTGGGGGAGACGAGAGCAGGGATATGATGCAAGGCCTCGTGGGCTACAGGGAAGATTCTGGTTTTTGCTAAGTGGGACCGCTGGAAGGTTCTGAGCAGAGAAGGGACATGCCCCAGGCTCAGGTCTTCCCAGGCACCCACTGGCTGTTGCCAGGGGAACAGACTGTGGAGTGGTAAGGGTGGAGCTGAGAGACCAGGAGGCAACTGAGCTGGTCCAGGCCAGCAGTGGTGACAGTGGGGCCACGGAAGGGGAAGTGGTTGGGTTTGGAGATATTCTGGAGGTAGCAGAGGATTGTTCACACCAGGTCCGAGGTGGGTCTGGGGAAATGATGCCCATCATCTATCCAGCCCTGGGGCCCCTCCCTCCCGCTCAGGCAAGGCTTTCTCATGTTGGAGTGAGGGGTGCTAAGGGCTTTCTCAGGAACACATCTCTCAGCCACATGCCCATTCCCTCCTCATCTCTGTGCACTGCTGTCTCTGGCCACTGTG